TTTATTACAGATTTTTTTTTGATTTTTTAGATGTTAAGTAAATATTAAACATTTTCCATTTTTATAATTATATAGATATTATAGGCCGGCGATAAATTTAATCTGATAAATAATAATGGTTCAAATATGTGTTATAAAATGTTGTTTATGTAATTGTAAATATTACATTTATTGGTACAATAATATTGCTGATATATCACATGTAAATATAGTACATAATACATTAAATACACTGTTCTTGATTACTAATGGGGATCAAGGCCTGCATCATAATGTACAGTCCATACTTAAACAATGAAAAATAACTGTGTCTTTTACGATCATAGTCTACGTATATGAAAGAAACCTACTTAAAAAACAACAAAATATAATTACTCTTACTCTAACTAGCTTAATTGTAGGTTTAATGAATAAAAAATGTCGACAGTAGTAATAATTTTGAGTTATCGTAAAGAAATCGAATGACCTAAAAGGTTAAATTATATTTAAAACATTTTATTCCATCCTTCATTAAATAAATAATGGTGTTTGATATAAAAATATATGACAACTTTTAATCAGTTAATAATAAGTAAATAATAAATAAGTTCTATGAAATTGGGCATCATTTTTCTTATTTTCTTCTTCCTCACCATATAAAAATGAGGTCATACAGTGAAATCCTCCTTTTCCATATTTCTATTTCCATTACGTTTACCTTTAACTATCTAACTTACAATCCTTTTTGTTTTTATTTAAAACATCCTCCAACGTTGAACTTACCTACACCCTAACAATAAAAACAAGAATAACTATTTTTTTATAACCTCCGTCGAAAATATTATATAATCAATAAAACTGTATGTTATATGGATAAACTCATATTTTCAGTATTATTATCATTAAATTATCAGGTTCGTGTTTTTACTACTTATGTTTGTAATGATTTAAATATGGATATTTATAGTATTTAAAAAGTTGAAACGACAAACAATCCTTGAATCATAAGAGTGTATAAATTATAGTAATTTATAAATTCTACTTCATATAGAACCATAAAAAATCGCATCATTTTTAAAAGTGGGGCAGTCCTGGAGCAATTAGTCTTATTGTTTGAGGAATAAAAAGAATCCTGAATTAATAAATATTAATTCTTTATTAATTTAAGAACAGTGAGGTTAGAATAATCATTAGTTTAGAATTAGGTGTAAGTATGAAATTAATAAATGACTTTCAAATTCACTAAACAACAACTAATTGTTACACATTTGTAATAAGTGTTAAAAAACAATTTATAACAAGTGTTTTTTTTTAAATCACCATTACCAGGAATTTAAGATCAATTCTGGTTGTAGTAGTCAAACAAGTTGTTTCATTAAAAAAATAGTGTGTTGGCTTTATTTTTTAAACAACAAAATTACTTTTTTTTTTTAAATTATAATTGCAAATAATTGGTTAAAAATGTTCAATAACTATTAGATAGGTAAACTTTTTGACGGCAATAACAATTATAATAATTACCACATAGAAATAATTGTATTCATAACAAATTTCGTTTTTAAGAAATAAAGTGAATTATATTTTTTCATTGATATGTCACATACCTATGTTAGACTAAGATAAAGGAATAAATCAAAGAAAAAGAATTAAAATACTAAGGTGTTAAGCGTTCATGTATTGTCTTGATACTAAAATTAAAGTGTATTGTACGTACATATTATATTATAATGTATGTAAAGAACAAAAACTAAACAATTCAAAATTGCTTTTTATTTAAGATGCAAGATCATCTTCGATTTCAGTAGGTACCTATACGTATTGAAGGGGCACCCTGTGACATTTTTAAATAGTATACAAATCCAACAGTGTTGCTGTTTATTTATAAACGAAAACAATATTAATTTGAATGTAACTTGATTGTTTTTTTGCGATGTATTAATTACGTATTATAAATACTTTAAGATTAATTATGATAAATGAAAGCTTAATTAAACGTAGGTAGGAAAAAATAAGTTTGTCATTGTTTTTCTCAGATAGAAAAGAGTACAAACTGTACGTTAAGTTGTACAAACGTTTTTAAAATACTTTATCATTTTTTTTTTATGAATTAAAACTAGTAAACTTTTTGTAATAATTGTTTTAAACTAATTTGGATACTAACAAATCTATTAAAATTTGGACGTACATTATTTTGATAATATGAATATTATTGAAGCGAGGGAACTGAAAGTCTCTGCTTCCCTAAAAACTTTATAATGTTCGATGGTTGATTAAAAAATAAAAATAGTGAAACTTTAACAACTAATAACTATAGGTACCAGTTAAATAATTTCTAATAATTAATAAAATAAAATTATGTAAACAACACGTGTCATAAGTCATTACTGCTACAATGGGTATTGAAGGGTTATAACATAGATATTCGAATATGGCCTAAATCAACTTGATCTCTTAAGTCGTTAAATAATGACAGATGTTTTTATGCCGGCCAGTTTTTTTTTTTTGGAGAAATCCCCAGTATTGTTGATTATCCTGCTCTGTTGGATATCATTAGTTATAAAGACAGTTAGCGCACACTTCGCTATCATACTCTATTTCTTGTTTTTTTTTTCATCCTACTTCTTACGATACTAAGAACCCGTTACATTGACTGAAGTATAATGCTAATGTAGACCTCTTTTTAAATATTTGTAATTTATACTTATGTAAATTAATTATATGTTGTTGTGTTTGCGTTTAGTTAGCCTAATTCCATTATATACCTAGAAATAAATTATAAATAAATAAATATTATTAAAAATAAAACATTTTATTAAATACGTTACATTTATATTTACGCGAAATACAACACATATATTAAATATATATTAATTATAATTAAACATAACAAATTTCACATCGTCAAAAAATGTAATGATTTATCGCGGGTTGGCGAGGGGACCTAGCCAAAAAAAAGGAAACGCGTTACGAAAAAGCGTTATGAAAAAAACTATATGTGGTGCGGTCGAGCGTGATCGGTTCCCAGTAGTGAGTGGTACCGGGTTCAATTCCGGCTCCCCTCTCAACACTTTTTGCATTTTTTTCAACTTTTATGGTAATTTATAATGCAAGAAGTCTAAAAAATGATAAAATATTTATATTTTATTACTACAGAATACATTTTTACCCTTAAAAGTACTTGATAACCTACATTGCGTTCGGTTTTTCGTTATTTATTAAACTTCTCGTACTCATTGTTATGTTAATAACCGTTTTTACCAAAGTAACTATGAGTAATACTGTACGAAATCAAAATATGTAATACAACATTTCTTGTATGATTAACACAATCTTTTAAAAACAAATAAATAAATATATATATATTGCAAATAAATGTATGAATATAGTTATTTATTGCATCAGTAATCAAAATTAAAGAGAGGGTGGGTAGAGAGAATAGAGAGCCTGGTACGTTAATGATATACGCTTATGGCGTATTCATAAAGAAGTAATAATATTTAAATAAGTTTGATTTGTATGAAGAATATAAAGACAGTCGTTTAACTATACGTTTTTTGTACCCATACGATACCAAAATTACGTAGATTTAATTAAGTACCTAGTAAAAAAAAATAAAGCCAACACAGTGGGGTGATGGAGATCACAGGTCTTCAGAAATTATTATAATGGTAAGTGATAAAATCACTTTCAAAAGCTGTATAAGCTATAACGTGCTTCAAATTATAATTTGAATATAAGGGTGGATACAATTAGGGTTGATAGTCTGTCTATTACATTTTGTTGCCGCTGTTACATATTATATTGTCATTAACAATTTAAAATAATACTTTTTCAAATACCTATTGACTGTTGATTCACGCACACATAACAACCTAGTTATTTGCAAACGCAAAAGTGCAGTCACTTTCAAATTTATCATTTTTCTTTACCCTACTTTTCTAACTTATTACTGTACTGTTTTTTTTCTTCAATATTATAGGGTTAAATCTACCTTCATTATAATTTTCAGCTCTTATAAGTCTTAAAAAATAAAAATTACCAAAAAACTGCCAACCAGGTGACTGCAGTGAGGTTGATGAAAAATTGTATATTAGGCGATTTGTGGATAAATCCTATACAAATGTTGACTAGATCCGACCGTTTTTCGTTAATTTATAACAAATTAAAGTTGAAAGTAATTTTTTGGTTGTTGTGGTTTTTCGGTATTAGGGGTGAAGGACTTTTTTTTACTTTTATGACCCAGCATAATGTCAATGACATACGATTACGGATTGATAGAGATGCTATTTGAGTAAATCGGTCACAAGAAAGAAAGTTATCGTGACTTCAAACACAAAAAAAAACACATCATTATAAAACCGCAATACCTTCACAGCATCTAAGCTAAAAATAAAAATACAATATGTATTTCTTGTAATCGTTGTAAAAATAATATCTTCTCAACTAAACGTCAATGTCTATGTCTATTTATGTCTTATCAGTTATCACATATGCTTCGTGGTAGCATCTTGGTGAAAATATTTAAAACTCAATGGTAAAACATTAAAATTTCTAATACTACTTAGTTATTATTAGGATATCTACTAAAATAAATAGTAGGATACAATACATCATTGAGGTTGGATCAATTGGCATATTAAATAGTTAATTATTATGACTCACAAGCATAATTAACCATAAATAATTTAAAAAAGAAGTGTCCCCTTATATGTTTTGAACTATAACCTGAACATTTTAATACTCTACAGGTTACAATTATGCTATCGGAAAATAGATAGCACAAAAGAAAGATCTTAACGCCATCCATCAACTAAAGATGTGAACAGAATTAAAATTTTGTTTTTTAATTGAATGCAGTTCGCGAGGAATAAGTTTGATAATTGGATGAGGTATTGGGCGGGGGTGTATACATTTTAGTTTGCAAGCATTCCAAATACGTCACTGATTGCTTATCAACAAAATGAAATATTATAAGCACGTGCAATATATAATATATATTTTATACATTTATACTTGTTTACCTGAATTTATTTGTAATAAAAGTCGTACTGCGTGCGGTTTGAATCCGGGTCGCCTGAAAATTATGCGCGTGTACAGCCCAAAGGGGACAGGGGTGGTAGTATGACGACGACTATCGGTTTCGCTTAAGATATTCTCAATTGGACCGTTGGTGATCGATCGAATTGAATAATAATACTCGAAAACCGCTTCAGAAATCTTGTCTACCAGCTATTCTGAGGCGTACGAAAATTGCAAACTGCCAACCTTCTCGAACCGCAGTCAACACAGAACTGAACATCGGGTCCGCGGCGTGCCGCGACTTTATTATTATACTTTTTTTTTTTTTTCTGTAGTCGGTTTATTATTATTGTAAATTCTGCAGGCCATTCTGTTAACCTTCCGCGGAGGCTACTTGTTCACGCGGCTAGGTGAACGTCTTATCGATTCACTGCAGAGCAATAAGCACGGCCGTGCATATCAGGAAGCGGTGGCGGCGGCGGCGGCGGCTAGCTGTTGTGTTCCGATTTTACCATTTACATTGTATGGCAATGTAAAAAAAAAAAAAAATAATAATAAATATAAAAAAAAAACCAGACTTGAATATTGTAACACCAATGCCCTTCTACGGTCCAACCGGGGGAAATTGCAATATTCGTACCCGCCTAAAACCGTAGAAGGCGTAAACAAAACGACAATCATTTTGTCGTCGATTTATCGAAAAAATTGCATGTTACGTTTAAAGTCGAAAAAATCCAACTATATCCGACATCAAACCCACAACTAAAAATCAAAGTTATTGTAGCGTCCTTGAAATTCACGTTTACGTATCATATAAGTGTGTGTGTGTAACGCGTGTGTGTCAAGACAGAAAATTTCTTGTCAGCGAAAACAATAAAGAACAATAATAATAATAATAATAATATTGTGCGTGATACTTTTTTCCCGGAACTATCTGCCAAAGATGTACGTACCGTGTCAGCGCACCTATCGTATTTATATGCTCCTATTTTTTCACCAAAATCGTTCCGTGCAGATGTTAATAATTTATATGGTTTTAATAAATTGTGTATGGCTAGTAAAACGCGTGACATTGAACTTGGCGAATTCAGAACAATATTTATTCGTGATTATTTCCAGGGTCGTTAACATTTGCAATCGGTGTACTAACGCAATACTAATGACTAGGATACCATAACCGTAGCTCGTTTGAGCGATTAAATCCGTTTACGTCCGTTAAGGTTTTATTGTACGCACAACATATTTTATAAATTACATTTTACCCGTGCCCGCTTTACGACCTTTGAATAGATTTTAGGCAACTGCGATCAATGTTTTAACACTTGATGACCGAAAAGCAATTAACGCACCAAACCCCGGAATGTAGAAATGCAAGTAAATCGCAAAAAATGTAATTGCTTACCTTAGAAACTCGACGATAATCGTTTTAAAATATTCATGACGCGCAAACCACTACATAATAATATGTACTCAATAGAGTGTTTTCATTTGTAATTTATAAGAACGAAAAATATAATAAACAATTATATATTGATATATATATATATATATATATAATTTTATATACAATTATATATATACATAGTATATTATTGTCAATCAACTAACTTAATACCTAACTTACACGGCAAATATATAATTTTTTTAATTGTAAAACGTTTAACATTGTATGATCTACGCTTTATTACAAACTATATGTAAGCAAATTTCTAAATAAAACTATTAAGTTTATGACTGCAAAGGTACTTTGCGTTATGTTGGTTACACAGTGCCCTGTAAAATATATTATACTAATACGATTAATATATTGCGCATCTTATAGGTGACTGACAACGTATTATATTTTAATGTAGGGCATCAACTTTGTCAACGTAGTCACAAGTTTATATTTTGCATGCCGTTGCCGTTAATATTTATTGCACGGACGTGATGAAAAATGCGAAACCAAATGGTCACCATAACGGGAATATATTTCGAAATATAAAAAAAAAATCCTTCGGATTGAAATTAAATATTCGCAAATAATATTCTCCCTATTCTTGTGCTGCATGTTAAGTGTTCACAGAACATTCATGTCAAGTATACTTACGTATTTTTCAATGAAATATTACTGTGGCTTTTCTCCTATTAGACATCTATTATCAACATGTTTACAGGAATATAAAACTGTTAGGTTAACAGTAAGGAATTTCTGTAATTATTTTGTGTCACTTAACCTAATAAATAGTACAATTTTAGTGTAGAAACGTTTTTCGCCGAGTAAATAATTACAATAATGGATAATATTTTTGGTTTACTTAGCTTAATACTATATGATATCCCAAATGTAGTGCAAAAATAATACTTTTGTTTTATTTGCCTTTTTTTACACGACACAAAGTGGAGGGGTTTGTTATGAGTTATGACAAATAAGCTAATGGATAAAAGAAAAGTATCGGACTGTACATCAATGACGTCAAAACTATTCTGATTGTGTCACGAAGGCAACATCATTGAACAAAATTCAATTGTAGTAGAGATATGACATTTAAAGGGTGCATAACTTTAAATAGCTTGAAGTAGACGTGAATGAGATGGTAAATAGCCACAACCGAGGAAATCAACTAAAGAATAACAGCTGGTAATAAGTGTTGTTTCTCATTAGTAACACTATTCCAGTCAAAACTTAGTAGTTTCATTCAAAAAGAACGAAAATCAGGCTATAAAAAGTCTTAGTCAGACCTATCGTGCTATATGGGTGTGCAGCATGAGCATCAACGAAAGCAGGCAAATAAAGATAATAGTAATATTTGAGAGAGAAGTACTACGAAAAATATACGGCCCTGAAAGGAGCACTGAGAGTAATAAGTATTAATGACAGACTAACACAGAACTAAGGAAAATGTTCAATTAACCCATTATAGTAGATATTCTAAAAAGCCAGTGACTTAGCTGGAAGTAGATGTGTGGAGAGCGGAGGGCAGAGTAGTTCACAAGGTCATAATGTGGAAGTCAGATGAAACAAGGGCAAGACAACGTAGGATACCCCGAGTTAGGGAATACCTTAATTTCATAGTAGTTTGGGATAAAGTTAGGCTAGCGTTTGGTAGATGTGTCACAGAATGGCCTATCCATTATTTTATTATCTATGCATCTATCAGCGATGCCCATTTCTCGATCATATTCAAGATGTAGGACATGATTTTATCTCGTCCCATAAGAGCCCATGTAAAAATTGAATAGTTTCCTTTCTGTTTGTTGTGTGGATGTGTGGCGAGGTATAGCGGAAGCGGCGATAAGTCTAAATGGCTTGGAATAAGCAAAAAAAAAAAAGGAAGAATATATTAAATTTCCGACGACAAATTAATTCGAAAGCAAAATAAACATAGTTCTACGACATTATATCTGTAAGTGATATGAGAACCAGTTTTCTCTAGGTTTTGAGATTATCATGTTTATACCTAGAAGAAAACTCATATTTTTTTGGTATCAGCAAAGTTTGCCAAAAATTAATATTTTTCTATAACCCCACATAATTTGTGCAATTTAATGTAGAAGAAGTGAATTCCAAGATATAAACGATTTATAACTTTTTGACTAACCCGACATAATTATGAAACTTGTAGCATGAGCGAAGTTAAACATGATGTTGATTAGATTCATCGCACTTGTCAAGGGATAAAGTAAAATAAGTTACCTGTATGGATTAGCCGCGATACCAGTATACACTAATTATTCTTACAGAATTTTAATTTTAATACTTAATCAAATAGGTATTGTATTGTAAAATAATAATCATACTTATGGTAATTTTTTTGTTGTGTCTATCATTGTGTGTCTATTCACCGCAACAGCAACATGAATCTGCTTATCTACAATTATGTCATTGACAGTATTTTTATTTCTTTTATTTCATATGCGCGTGTAGAAATCTATTATACCCACAGAATTTATATTATTTGTCATAGACAATGATAGCTGCGGTATGTTGAACTTGTGGTTAAGTACGTTCGATCACGAGTTAGATAATAAATAACGTAGTAGCAAAAATTGTGCGATTTCTGCTGTTCTGTACTATTTAAATACGACTTGAACTCGAAATTACTTGATTATAGAAGTTTGACAATAATATGAATTGGTTGAATTTGAATAATCTTAGCTTCGATTTGAAAATAATAATAACACTTATAAATTTCTATCCAACCTGACCTAACATAACCAAGCCTTATAAAATTATTTAATCGCACCCAAAAAACATTTTATACATATATAAACATTACCTACTTCTTATTAGGTACACCAAATTATTATAGTCCTTATTACACCACTTTTTCAACGGTTTATACTATATTGAATTCCACTGTTTTCCTATTTAATCACTGTACCTAGGTTCTAGCCTCTAGGTTCTGTTTGTGTTTATTATTTAAAATTTGAACTTGCTCTATTTTACAAAAAAATACCTTGAACTCAGTCTTATTATTACTATGAAGTGAATATTAAAAATACTTTTATTATTTTGCTAATTTCATTCTTCTTCTTTTTTTGTTAACTCACTAAGCTAAGATAGGCATCTATTTTTTTTTTAGTGGACATTTTTATTCTCTGTAAAAAAGTCTTTTGTTTATTGCGTTTAATAAATTGCTGTATCATCTAGCCATGGTTGTGGGTAATATTAAAAGTATAATCTTTTTTTCTCTCCATTAAAAAAAATAGATAGGCAAAAATCTAGGACGAGCTATATTTTTAAAATATAAAATTATTATAATTTATAAAACCTGTTTTTTAGTATATTAAAAAGAATCCAGTATAAAATCAAAAATTTAAAGCTTTCATGTTAGGCATGTTTTTATGTTGGCGCTCGAGAGAAAAACCACAAGATAACTAAATTAATTTTGGAAGATTTGAAAAAACATGAAATTTTAGTGAAATGACCCCTATATCTACCTGTGTACGGCGACCTGGATGTCTGAGTCCTAATATTACAGGATATTGTATTGTCATTCGAGATGAGTGTCAGTACCAAGTTTCAGCCCTCTACGACATCGGGAAATTGGTTAAATTAATTTTGCAAGATTTAAAAAATACCCGTACAAACGTATGTATGTAAGTGTTAGCGAGTTAAGGGTAAAATATTTGAGTTCTTTAAAACATTTTCAAGGCATCGGTCGTGGCACAATTTTAAAATTCTTTTCAGTTAATTAATTATTTCAGTTGAAAAAAGTTAAAAATTGCATTTTTTTTTATATTGAAATAATTAATTAACTGAAAATAATTTTAAAGTTGTGCCACGACCGATGCCTTGAAAATATTGTAAGGAATTCAAATGTTTTTTAAAAACTTAAATCGATGTGTTCTTAAGGACAGTATGTTTGAAGTAAAAACATGTGTTTTTGTACAAAAATAAATCCTATATGCGTTATAAAAGTAAAAAAAAAAATAATTATCAAAATACTTCTTTCTAATGGTAATATGTATGTTTAAAAATGTTAACTTAATGTTAAGTTATAGAGAAAAATGCGGTCTAATAAATGCTAGTGTAGAGGCCTCTTAAAGAAAAGCATGTAAAAAGTCTTGGGTACATCACTTAAAAAATTCATTTAGATAAATTGATCTAGCAATTTTCCGTTATAAAAACGTTAACGTCAAAACGTTAACTTTACAGATAAACATTTTCTACTTATAAGGTTGTGTTTCTATTTTTTCGATGAAGTATTTTTGTTTGAAACGTTTAAGACAATTTATATTTAAAAGTTATTAAAAACAAAATGACTCTACAGCTTGTTCATCATTATAAAAAAAAATTAATAATAATAATACAATTGAATAGGTAATTTCAAAAACATAAACCATAAAGAACTATTAACTTACTTCAAAAATGAAACTAATTTTGCACTTTACCATATTTATTAGGGGTGTGCGAATGTTCAAAATTTTGAATAATTCGGCATGAATTGAAGTGAATAATTCAATTCTAATTCACTTGAATTTATTCAAAAGAAAATACTTCCCAATAAAATGAACAATTCGAATTATTTATTCAATTTAATTATTTAATTAAATGCATGGGTAATTCTAAAAAAAGTTGAATAAAATACATATATTAATTGTTCATGTTATACACCATTGAATTTAAATCAAAACGTGTAAACTGATTTACTATTATTTGGTGTAGGGGTATCAAGTTTTTACTTGAACTAGTAATAACTAACAAACTCCTTGCTTATGCTTAGTTGTTCGGTACTGATTAAAACTGTTTTTTGTCTAACCATTATTATTATCATTATTATTTTTAGTAATAATGATACTGGATAAAAAATAAAATTAATAAACATGTATAAAATGTAGGTATATATCAGAATAATAATAATTAATCTAATAAGAACGAGTTAAAAATTTATCTAAGCAATAATTGAACACATGAATAAAAACAAATATGAAATGTATTCAAAACATCATGAGTTAAAATGTGCATAACCATTAATTACAGATAATAATAACATTGTTTATAAGTCCAAAAATAGGTCCTTTTTTAAAAACAGTCGAAAAATATGAATTGTTTTTCAAACGTAGTACTATCGATAAACATTAACAAACCACAAAAAATATCATAAACCCTTTCCCTTAGAAGGGATCGATTTTTTTTCTTTATTTCACTATTTCAAGCAAGTTTTAGAGATTTAGATCTGAAAATTAGACTGAAGGTAGATCTAAAATGGAACTATAACATATACAATTTTCTCAAAAATCTGTAGTCAAATTTTTTTTTTATTAAGGAAAAACCCCAAAAATAGGGTAAATTTACACTTTGGCCGTAGTCAGTGTCTAGGTTGCTATGTGTGTGTGTGAATAATCAGTCAACAGGCAATGAAAATATTTTCATTATATTGTTAATTACGATATATGGGTAACTATGACAGTACATTTTTATAGACAGACGATCAACCCTTATCGTATCCACCCTGCACAAGACTAAATATTAAATTTTAAGTACATTATTGCTGGTCCCACGATATCTTATAAACCACTATCACTAGTTTGAACATCTATCCACAGATTCGCATCAAAGCGTTTATTTAAAAGTGATTTTATCACTTTCAGTTATAATAAAATCTGTAGACCTGTGACCTCTCCGTCCCTACTATGCCCTGACCCCACTGTACTGGCTTTTTTTTAATTATTCTATTAATTCTTCGTGGATCTATGAATGAATTAATCATAAATTAATAATTATTAATCAAATTATTCTTGATAAACCTAATAATTCGTGACATTTTATTATATTGAAACATTGACTTATTCGTTTATTAATAAGATTTGGGATATTCATAATAATTAAAAATAATCTACTTTTGATAATACTTCAATAAAATGTAATCATCATGAATCATAATTGTCTGTTGTTGCTTTTGCTAGGAATGGCAAATTAATTATAATAATAATTAATTTTACAAATTAGGTTTTAAAATACAATTATTATAGTTATTATTATAGTATTTGAATTTAATTTTTAAAAATTTAAATAAGTAGATAACCAGAGGCGGCTTAGCTGAAGGAGTTAAAGGTTCATAACCCAAAAATGTATTTTTTTTAGCGTACAATACGTAACTACTTATAAAAGTATCAATTTTTACAAAAGTTCATTATTGTAAAAAATCACTTATGTAGTTTTTGAAATTAATTATTCAATTAGATGTATCACAATTAATAATCATAGATTAAAAAATTTGGTTGATTGCGTATAAAGCCACGTTAAAAACGAACGTTAATAATATTGATGTTAGTAAAGATAGTAGGTACGATTAGAAAATTATTAAGAAAATGTGATACGTACCAAAAGGTTATAGCAGTGGTTGTCGGTTGAACAGTTTTGAGGTGACCGAAGTAAACGTTAGCGGTTGACTGTTATAATATTTGACCGGTATGTACACCATCCGTACATATCACGATCCGCCGTCATCTTATCGGTGATTTACAATATTAGGGACGAAAACAAAATACCCATTTTTAATTGGTCGTGTAAAGTACAGTTGTTGTTAATTAAAAATACACTAGTGTAATTTCCATGCTATTATTGTAAGATATTATTTCTTCGTTTTAGATAGAACATTCCGTTTTAGCTATATTATTGGTCAGAGGAGGGCACACATTGTATTTAATGATCCACTTTTGAATACTTTTCGGTTTTTTTTTGTTCTAAATATAGGGGGTAACAAAAAGTTATATATATATATATATATTATGCAATTTTAAATTATTAATCCAAAATGATTAATGAAATAACAGACTAATAAAACAACAACAATAAATATATGTTGTTTCTAATGTTTTACGACGAAGTTATCATCTTACGTAACCTTATAACATAACACTGAAATTTTATTAATAGCAGCACCAGTATAACAATTAATTTTTATTATGAATAATTATGCAGCAATATATATTTGTATATGTATAAATATTATATACCAAACTAGTAGTTACTATGTCATTCAATGTTATCATATCAATCATTTTTTTGTTGTAATATTAAGTTGCATAAAAAATAGACACAGGAGGCAGGCCATCATTAATACATTATAATAAAAATCTTAGCTCCGAACCTAAATAAAAAAAGTCAAAACAAAAATGTTAACCTTATAGGATACCTATAGTTTTGTAAATGTCTACATGTCTATACTCTGTTCAGAATAAGAACAGGCTTCGGCGGCCGACCAGTTTTCGTCGGGCGGCGGTCAGGCACCGCCCATTTTATATTTCATCTGTAGCCCCACCGGCGGCAGTGTTCGAGGTCCGTTGCTCGTAGTGAAGCCACGCCCATGCGCACAAGTCGGCCGCCGAAGCCTGTTCTTATTCTGAACGGAGTATACGCATGTTGGTTTCTGCGCAGTAGCGTTCTCTCGGTGGCAGCAGTATAGATAGCATAATTCTCAAGGAACTCAAAAAACGTTTCATGTAATTGAGTTACAGGAAAAATTGAAGTGAAAAAAAAATTTTCCGAGCTGCACGTTTAAGAGTTTTAGACACCGCCGACGTGTTACCCCAACTCAGTCACGGTCACAATGATCAGCCTTTTTAAATTTTGATTCTATTTAAATACCGTCACTATTTTCAAAATGTATTTTCAGCTCTTTCAAGATGCACAATTATTGTAGGTTAAAATTATTAATAATGGCTGAAAATGCTACTGGCCACTGACATTTTCGTATTTTATCTATTTTAACCAAGTGTGTAGCCTATGTATATTATGTACCTATATAGTATTGTAATGGAATACAGATTCACTGTTGGGACTAGTTTTTACTTGTTTAGGCCGTACAATAAATTTATAAAATGCGGCTAACGATAAAACATTTGTTTTTTTATTATGCGTGGATGGACTTATAACCAAGTGTGATAACCGTACTATCACAGAATAATTATTCTGTGGCACTATATATATATATACATAGACCCATAAAGAAATCTTAATAGGTCTATGGGTACATATAATTTAACTAGATTGCTAACTGTACATGCCACCAATAGAGAAGATTGAAGCAGCCACTTTCTGCCATCTTGGTGGGAATTAGAACCTTATCACGCGAGAATAATATATGTTAAGACAATCACGTATATATATAATATTGATATAATAATATATACAGATATGTATTTATGCATTGATAACACACCCGACCTATCCAGTTTTATCTTATCTGTGATGTCTATGCGGTAGTATACTTGTCTATGCTGTGGTACATGTATTAATTTTATAAAAACTTTAATTGATTTAACAGGAAAGTAATTTTGGAACTCAATAAAGAATTATTGAAATGTACGAAATGACACTGTTATGTATATAAAATCGCTTTTATCTAAATATCATCAGTTATTTGCAACTAAGCATTTAGAGTCATTACATTTGAGAAATTGTAGTATAAGTACAATGACTTCTCTTGAAAATGTGATCAGTGGTTGGAATGACGTTAAGCAAAAAATAAAAGTAGTTTCCCAAAAAAGAACACAGGTAATAACAATTTCTTTTGGGGGTTATGGCAGTTTATATAATTATAAATTTTTATTTTCAGAACTTACCAGAGCCACGGTTAGTTGCTGTTAGTAAAACTAAACCTATAGAACATATTATTGGTATTTATCAAAAAGGCCAAAGACATTTTGGTGAGAATTATGTTCAGGAATTACTAACTAAATCTTTTGACGTTGAAGTATGCACTTTTAATTAACTAAAAATTGAATAATTTATATAGTATTTAAATATAGAGGAGGAGGAATGGCCGAGTGGGTAAGGCGGCAGTGTGTTAGCGCTCACTGTCACCAGTTCAACACTCTGTCACGGGCACTTTGTTTGCCGGTCGAGCAACGTCGGTGAAAAGGAGTCGCCATTCCCCTCTCCAGCGACTGACTAACAACCCGTCCCTGACAGCGATTCCATCTAGCAACCATCATCTCATGACGGCAGCGTTGGGCCTCAAAGGCCCATTAAGCTGATGATGATAATAATTTAAATATATTATACCATTTATAAAATAGGAAAAACATTTTTATTAATGTTATTTGTTCCAAGAAATACCTTAGATTAGTCAAAACCCTTTTAAAAATTACCTCAATGACTTTAGTCTAAGCTTTGGTTTAAATTTGATTAACAGAAATAACTAATTGTTATTAGTGGACTTTTGGTTTTGTTTAAAATTTGGTCATTTTCAACATAATAAATATCTGAACAATTAGTTCTTTAGGTAACTTTCAAAAGTTATTACTAACCTAGTCCCTAGAGATATAATTGACTTTACTTAAATCATATTAATTTTATGATAGTAATTTCTGGTCGATAATCCGTTATTGATAATTAATACTTATTCAGCAATTAGCATTTCAAGTGATAGGTGTCAAGTGAGGTTGAATAGTGCTTGCAGATAAAAATAGCTCTATGGTCTACCTCTCATCCACCCATATCGGCTAGTTATTATTTTCATTAGAACTCTGAATTTAATTATTAAATTAAATATGTTAATCCTCCAAAACTATCCTTTAAAGTAACATTTTATTCTTGAATGAGATAAATTATTTTAAATTACTTAATAAAACAAAGATAATAATATAATATAATAAATGCAACATTTTTTTTATCTAAATCAAATATATCTGAATTTTCTGCATTTAATCTATGCTAAGAAGTAACATTATCGATGCCAACTTGTATGAATAATTAAATTTTTATAAATTATTCTTTCAATACCTATTTTTGTATATTTCTAATATCATAGGGAGATTTCTATAAAAACTAAGACGGTTTAGAGTAGTTGTCTTTTTCATGACTAAGATATCACATGGTATAAGTAGTTATAATAATATGATATTAACCTTAATAATTAATACATTTCTTGATAAAGTAGGCAACTAAGCTGTAGTGTTTGCTTTCTTTTAAATTAATGTCTGGTAATGCAATTTTCATAATATAGCATTGAATTTTGTAAATTTGTATTAGATATTAAAACAATGTCCGGATATTAAATGGCATTTTATCGGTCACATTCAAAGGAACAAAGTATCAAAAATATTATCGGTTCCTGGTTTGGATATTATTGAAACAGTTGATAATGAAAAATTAGCTGACGCTATTAATGTTGCATGGAAAAAACAGAATAACAAAAATCCATTGAAAATTATGGTCCAAGTGAATACTAGTCGAGAAGAAGGTTTGTCAAATTAGTGAACTAAGAATTATATAATTTTTTATTATTATATTCTGTCGTAGGAGGTCAGAAGTAGTAAAGTAATTATACCGGGTGATTGGTTAACTACGGACCACTCAATATCTTAGAAGATATTAGACTTTTTTAATTATTTTTTTTTTGTACTATTATAGTTAATAGGTGGGACAAATTTAATGTATTTTTCAAAATTTTAACACCATCCCTTATGCGTTAAAACCATACCAACTTTAAATTTTTAAATGGTAACCCCCAATTTTTTTTTGATGATCGTGTTTATTTTTTTTAAATTTAATTTTAGGCGTAAAAACTAGCTAAATCAGACAAGTACTTTTAAAGTTATAGCTTAGTACTACAATATTATAATATTAGCTTATATGAGATGCTTTTATAAGTTTTACAACTAAAGAAAAAAATCGTTTATCGCCGGATCTCACGTTTCACAAAATAAGATTGATTAACGATACGGTTGTAGATTAAAGTTAATAGTTGACGGTCGTCGGTCACAATGAAAACGAACTAATAATAAATCTATAATAATATTATATGGGTAATGTCTTCTTATCTGTTTTTTCTGTAGTGTTCCTAGCGGTGCGGTGTACCTGTACGTATTGAATATTAGGCATTAGCTGCTGTTAACAAACAATATTATGAGCCCTAGTAAATAGTTTTTTTTTTCAATTTCAACCATAGGTTACCGTGGTCTAATCACGGTCTTATATAGAGTATATACCGTAGTTCTACCAAAACGATTCGTTACTAGCGTAGATTAATATCAACACAGAACAAATTATTATAAAAATACGACTACTTGAAAACTAATCAAAAAGTTCATTTTTCTAATTTTTCAATTACTATGGTTATTTAGCGTCTTGGTTTTTACTTTAAATATTTAGCGTCTTGGTCTTAATAAGTATTACTTGTACTGGTGTCTTAACTAGTCAAATTATTAATTCTGTTAGTGAAAATATTTTTAAAAAAACTTTAATAAATAACATTCAATTTTTTGTTTTTTTTAGTATAATATTGTATTACATACAGTTAATAGATAATATGTACAGAATATATACAGAAATAAACAAAAACTAAACTTAATATGTACAGAAACTATTTTAGCATTTGTTCGAACTGGTTTATGGTAGGTACATAAGATGTCAAACAACATCTTTATAAGGCATCTATTGTGTTTATTAAAATGTTTAGATAACAAAGGATTCCATAAGAACTACGTTCATCCAATACTTGTGCACTAAAATAAATTTTCATTTTTATAATTTAAAGTTGTAACGCGTCAATTTTAACTATTTCTAGTTCAGTATTTTTAATTATTTAAAGCTGTATTTATTTATTAACTCTTTATTATATTACCACCTTAAGCCTAAACTGTATATATTTCATAGTATTGACTATTCTTACTTATTTTAATGTGTTCATATGAACAGTAAAAGTATGTTTCTTATTTAATAAATGGTTGTTTTTCTCGTTGTACGAGGTATAAGCAAAAATTTAGAGTGACAATGATGAAGTACAATTTTTTTTGTTTTTGTACAGCTTTTTTAACAGTCATAAGCTTAAAATTCAATAATAATATTACTAACAAACATTTAAATACTATATTATGTTATGTTTATTATGATAATAGTAAAATAAAAAAACAAGTAACAAGTTAAATAATATGCTTATAAGATACAAATAAACATTTTTATTTGCTAAATCATATTAAAAAATTAAGACTAAATAAAATTAACATATCTATAATTAACTTGTAAATAATAGAGGTACAACATATTGCTGTATATAGTGATGTATTTATAGGAAGTTACCTAGGGCGGTAAAGTTTGTTTGATGATTTCCCACTAGAAGAAATCCATCTCCATTTACATATTTAAGTTAAAAAATATTTATAAGTATATTCATTCAATTTACTTTTTTACACTTAATCCAATAGTTAACATTTTTTTTTTTCTATTTTGTGTTTTATAATTTTATTTACTATATTACTTATAAAAACTTATCGTAAACCACTAGAAAATTGTCAATAAATTCTGTAATAGCTAATGCCAAAACTATGCCATCATGAAAATAATATCAAGATTTGGATTAAGACAATAACATATTTCAGAAATATTAACATTCTCAGCGGCATTTTAGATTAAATTAATATTAAATAAAGAATTCATCACTAATAATTAATAAATAATGTATTATAATTATAGATATGTTAAGTATACGTGCAAATCGTGTAAAACGTACAAATCGCATGAATAAACAAAATGTATCAAATTAACCAAAACGAATAATTGCTAAATGCTGGAAAAATATTCACAAGGTATTGATAACAAATTAAACATACCTACTATTTTACAAAATAAATGTAAAAGTGTGTAGTAGTGGTATATTTGTCAGTCGATATAGCGGTTATCATTATTATTTACTATCGGTGAATTATTTACCTAAAGTAAATAGTGTTTGGTACGGTTACGATTTTTAAACGCTACTATAGCTATTGTCAAAGTTAATAGTCAATAAATAATAACAGAGAGCAGTCAAGTGTCACCATAATATGTTAGCATCTCCAAGATATTTAATTTATTTTTTACACTCCCTTTAATTTTAAAACTGTGTAGCTCGTTAACTACTCAATCGATTTACCTAGTTTTTACGCCTAAAATTAAATTAAAAAAAAATAAACAGGATCATCAAAAAAAAATTGGGGGTTACCATTTAAAAATCCAAAGTTGATATGGTTTTAACGCATAAGGGATGGTGTTTAAATTTTGAAATATATATAAAATTTGTCCCAACTAATTGCTATAAAAGTATAAAAAAAAAAAAATTAAAAAAGTCTAATATCTTCTAAGATATTGAGTGGTCCATAGTTAACCAATCACCCGGTATAGATACATTTTAAAATATGTATTACACCAAGTGGCAAAATATTGTATGGTTGGGTAATACGTAATTAACCTAACCAAGACAAATAATACTGATAATACTAATAAATAATAAGAAATACTGACGAGACGCGATGCGCCCGCGAGAGTCTAGTCGGTCTCCTCGCCTCGTGCCAAAAAACCGACACTGAATGGAGTGCTGGCGAGGCGAGGAGGACGACACGAGAGCCCCCAACACACTCTCGTGCTCGCGTTAAATTGTAGATAAATTTTATTAAGCAAATCTTCGAGGCGCCGCATGAATCAAACTCGCAGCTCTCTGTTCCCAATTTTTAAAATGAATCGTGAAAAATTAACTCGACGTCCACAACGTGAAAGCCATCAAAAAGAAATGATATCTCCAACAAAAACCTAACATTGAAAAAGGGCCAAGTTTTAGACCCCCTCCCAAAAAAGTCAGCCTATCAGACTATTTTTAAAAAAAATTTAAATACACTTGTGTATAGAAAATAAAACATACTATGTATATTCAAGCTGCTGATATCCAAATAATTTCAGTACTATGTTAGTTAAATTTTAAAAAATTAACCGGGAGGTATGGCGCAGTGGACATCTCAGGTGCCGCATGGCACTTGAGGTTAAGCTGTGTCCGTTGCTGCTTGATCCCGGATGGGTGACCACCCGGGATTTTTAGCGGCGACCCACTCAATGCCATGCACCCCTGTGACCGAACTGGCATAAAGTTAGCCATAGCCAGCCACTCCCGGTCAATACGCCATATGCATATTTTTTTTTTTATTAAAAAATTAAATGTCATCTATAAATATCACTATTGATGACATACTAATTTAATACTATTAATACTCAAGCTTATAATTATTGTTACGAGTTAAAAATGTTAAATAACTTGTACAAAATTAAAGATAATTCCTACTAAAATGTATTACATATTTTTTTTTTTTTTTAGAAAAAAATGGAGTATTACCCGATGACGTAGTAAAATTATGCAAATATATCATTGAAAATTGTGAAAATTTAAAATTTATTGGCCTTATGACTATTGGACGATTTGGTTATGATTGTTCATTAGGACCAAATCCAGATTTTTTGGTATTGATACAATACAAATATTTAAAAAACTTAAATAAGTCTTAATGACTTGTTTTTTATTTTAGACATTGGTTGAATGTAAAAACAAAGTTAGTTTTGACTTGCAATTGAACTCGTCTAATATTGAGTTATCAATGGGAATGTCTGATGATTTTGAACATGCTGTGAGTATTATATAAAATATTATAAAAGTTAATAATAATGAAATATTTAACCAATAACCAAAAAAAAAAAAAAATAGCGTTACGGTATACATATTTTGGCAGTAATGTTACTGTAATCAGTGCATACAACAGACTGAGTCTGGATCAGTCTTATATGAATATGCTATAGACTATATTTATATGATTAAGGGTTTATTTAAATATTTCATTGTTTTATTTCTTTACATATATAACATAACCACAAAAGTTGCTTAAGTGTTTTCTAGATAATAAAAGTTTATCTCTCCTCATTTCTTGTTTAGGTTTTAATAAACAATTAATTCATTTAGTATTATTTATTTTTTTATTTATAGATTGAATGTGGAAGCACAAACGTTCGAGTAGGAAGTAATATTTTTGGTTATAGACCAAAAAAAGAGAGATCTCAGAAATAGTTTCAATCCAATGAGGATTATAAAATTATCTTAGATTTATAGCTAATTATATACTATTAAAAATATCTTTATTTTATGTATGTAGGAATACATTTATTTAAGTTAAATTTTTTGTTTTTAATATTTATATATCCATCAGAGCATGCTGCAAGTAACTTAAACGATTATATCCTTATAAACATGCGTATATATATTTTTTAGATAACATTTTGATTTATTACTCCCGCTAGACCTCCCCTCTCCCAAAATACAGTTCATAATTGTAAATATATAACAGCAAGATATAGCGTACACGTTGAATTTTCAAAAAAAAAAAAATGATATATTTAGTGAAAAAACCTACGTACAGTGTGGTTGGGGCATAATGGGGACAGAGCATAGTGGGATCGAAGAGGTCATTACATTCATTGTGTTACGGGTTTGGCGAACCTGGGCTCCGAGCTCCTCTCCAAGGTAAGGAGAGTTGATCGTAGGACTAATAACCCTACATCGTACAACAGTTTTGTTAAGAAACTACCAAAATTTAACTGTGTTTATTTCAATTTGTAGAGAACACAATTTAAAAGATATATCAATAAATTATACACATTAATATGATATAACTTTTAATCGATTTTAAATACAAACAAATTTAAACAGCAATCGAAAATGTATAAATGCAAAAAAAAAAAAATAGTATAAAATGTTTAAATGCAATAATTAAAACTTTTTGAAGTACTGATCTTAAAACTGTTCAACAATTTTAAACTAGTTTAGATCCATATTTTAAAATATTAAACTGTTATAATTTCATAAAGCAGTCAGGCTTTATATTAACATAGGAATATTGAAAGATTAAAATATTAATAACATTTTTGCAATCTTATTTGAAGATAAAACCTGTTATTTCAAATGTTTATTAAAATTAATTATTAATTATCAACAATTAAAATGATATACACTAAACTTTAATACCAATAGTGTGACAACTTAACAATCTTCAAAATGGTTATTATAATTATATGATAATTAATAATGTTCATAAAGTATAAACTGAATTATAGGAAATATATTTTTTTTAACCCAACAAGGTAAGTAGACAAATGTATTGTGTCTGTTATTATTAGTAATATTAATGATAAAACACTAACACTACCTTAAGACTATAAAAATTTAAAGATATCTGTAGTCTTCTTGGTAAAAAAATTTATAATATGTAGTTTAAATTATAAATTAAAAAATAAAGATTTGTTTTTTTAAATTATCAAAAAGGAATTGTGCACTAAACTAATGTGTATTGTGGACATAAAAGTATACATACTTACTTAAATTAATATATTTAAATGAAAAATGAAAACCAAGTAGAAAAATCCAAAAGACCTTCATTATAGTTCACCTAGATTCAAATAAAAAAATATCACTTCGGTAAAGTATAGTTTTAATAAGTGATATGATAAATATTTAATAATTTTTTTAGTATTAAAATATTTTAAATAAAGACTAACTTGATTGTGAAATTGTTCTTATTAAATAATTTAAGCAATGATATAACATATTAAAAGGTACATATTTATCACAAAAGTATTTAGTTGTACTTACAGATTTCATTAGTATAAATTTTCAAAGAAAATTACATAAAAAATTCATCATTGATTTGGTCACAATAACATTTGTTACTTAAAATAATACAATAGGTTGATTCATGATTGTTAAAAATTATTGAGCATTATAAATTGAAAATTAAATACACATACATATGTATGTACATAATATATTGTCGTTACTGTGAAAAAACATCCTATGTGCCAATTTTTCGATTTTGGTATCCCTGAATACAGAAAAAAAAAGCTATCATACGATAAAATCTTCAATGTGCTAGGTATCTCTATTGTAGAATAAATGAAAAATAAAAATAAAACCTATGTATTACCTACTATAAATTGTTTTACACGTTTTAATGTTTTCTGCACATGGGAGTTTTTCTCGCGGTAGCGACAATATGTATCTTATCATAAAAAAAAATATAAGCTATGAAGAAAAATAAATTAATTTGATTTAGGTGACTAGTTTAACCCATAAAAAACTTCTTTTGGCCAAATAAAATTGTAAATTTAACATTATTATAAATTATTTTAGACAGTCTTGATAGTACAGCTTGAAAGCACATAGACAAATATAAATAACGAAAAAAAAAAAATAAACAGATATAAATAAGACAAAAATACTTGATAAAACAGTAGCTGAGAAAAGAATTTGAAATAAATATTATTATAATATTTAGTTATTATAATGTTAGTGTAGCACTTTAGGAATAATATTACGACTTTTCATATAGCCAACAATCTGCGCAGGTATTTCTGCCAAAACTTCTTGAGCTAAATGCGATTTAGCATTCATTGGATTTTGAATTTGTAGAAAGTCTTTAAATGGGACAAACTGCACAATATCTCTGGCAGCCCGAACACCATTCACTTCTAAAGTAACTGTGTCACCATCTAATTCTTCCATTGATTGAAAATCTGCATTGCCGACTCCTACGATGATTATAGAGAGTGGCAATGTTGATGCTTTGATGATAGCCTATAGCACGAAATATATTATGTATACTATACGTAAAACACTTAGCAATTTATTAAAAGTTTAGAAATAAAGTGATTATACTTAAATACATACAGTTCATACAAATATATAATGTATTATAGTTTAAACAAAATTGTATTATTACAATTAATAAAAATGTGCAGTATGAATCAAAAAAGTATAAAATTTGTAATCCGATAAATATTAGTATAATAATGTAAAATAGTTAATGTTACAAGCTTGTGCTATTCGGTATTATAGGATTAATATTTTTCATATGAACGTATTTTATACCAATAATCAAAATACATTCAATTGATTATACATAAAATTATCCAAAAATGCCAAACACGCAGCATTTAATCTGCCTATCAAATAATAAATAATAATTTTCTTATTATTTTAAAATTAATAAACAACAAACACACATTTAAAAATTAATAAATATTAAATAAATAATAATCAAATATTAATTTAATTAAATAACTATATACATAATAATACGCTGTTAAATTCTGTTGAATAATAATATTGTCCCAATATGATAAAATTTTCATTAACCCAATGGTATATAATAATAATATTCTAGTTTGATATAAAGTTGAACAATGTTGATATAAATAAAAAATGTTAACATAGACATCAAATCTGATGTCCTACAGTTAAGACGCTGGGCTAATGGGTTAACAATAAATAATTGTTACAATAAAGTTTTCTTAGTCCATCATATAAATTTTCAGTAAAACAATTCCATGAAATATTATATTCTTGACACTAATAAAACAGAATGGTTTTGAAATAGTAATTTTTAAATTGATAAATCAATATAAAAAAACGTAGGTAGAGAATGTCTATACATATACAACGATTCAGAAAATAAATAAAAATTAAATAATAGAGTAAAACAATATAAAACATGATCTTCAAATTAATAAAGAATGGAATGTAGTATTTAACAGATTTGATTATTTAACAGATTTTTGGGGAATAACATTCTTAGATTTCATGTAGCCTACGAATTGCTTAGGTATCTCAGCCAGCACTTCTCGAGCCAAATTAGCTTTTGCAAGAGATATATTTTCGCATCCTTGAAAATCATTAAATGACACAAACTGAGTAATATCTCTGGTTGCACGGACACCATTAACTTCCAATGGCACAGTATCAGCATCAAGTTCTTCCATGGCTGAGAAATCTGCACTACCTACCCCCACTATGATAATTGACATAGGCAAGGATGATGCTTGAATTATGGCCTAAATAATATTTATCAATAATAAGCCAATAAATCCCCAACACATAAAAATGCTGTGCCTTAATCATTACTATAATATTACCCTACACTTAAAATATGTTTTTAAAAAATATATAAATACTTGTTTAGTGTGGAACATATCTGTGATAACACCATCTGTGATTATGAGTAATATGAAATACTGGGATCCGTCTTGATAAGCTTGAGCAAATTTTGCTACGTGGTTAATAACCGGACTGAAATTTGTAGGACCATATAACTGAACGCTCCTTATACAGTGATGATAAGCATTAATAACTCCTGGAAAATAAAAAATAAGTATAAAGCACATACATTTTATTGAAATAAATAATATTTTTTAGTGTCCTTTTTACCTTCTATGCCAGAACAGTAAGGATCACTGGCTTGTAAATTTAAGAAAAATTCATGAGAAACTTGGCCATGAGGTGGAATACGTGCACCAAATCCCAATGCTGGAAACATTTTGTCACTATCGTAGTCTTTAATAATTTCACCAACAGCCGCCAATGCTTGTTCATATTGGTTAGGTCTATTACTTATGTAATGCAATGAATTGTAATCTTTTGGATCTCCATTTGAAGCTGCAAATATAATTTTTTTTTTTAATAGAAATAGTTTGAATTTTAAATATTTTATGTCTTACCAGTAAAATCAATTGCAAATGTACAGTTGATTTGAGTGCCATTCATTATATAGTCTAAAAATGTGAATGTTTTCTTCAACTCAAAATGATTTAGGCGAATAGTACCAGTAGTTTTCTAAATATTTAAAAACCAATATATATATATTAAAAATTATATTTACTGTGAAGCTAACTAAATTTTTAATAAACAAAGATAAATGTTAGTTAAATTTTTGTCCAAGTGTTTTTTGAACATTTTCCCAAAAACCACTATGTTTTTTTTTTCGTTCAGGCTCCTTAAATAATTAAAATTTAAAAAAACTTACATTTGATTTAGGTTTTGTACATTTATGTTCATTTTCAGGTCCTGGACCTTTTTGAAATTGATTCATTGTAGCATGAAATTCTCCTAAAAAACACCAAAACAAAATGCTTTATATATACGTTTATTTAAATGTTATAACTACATACTTAAAGATATAATATCGCTTCTCCGGTAGAACATTGGCGTAAGTGTAAATTTTTGACTTAAGTACGAAAACAGTACGATAAAATTTCATTTTATTGAGTAAAACAATGACATAAGTGTAATACCTATTTTTGACCGCTAGAGAGCAGTTTTTTCGTTGTTGTAATTACCAGTTACTATTACACTACAATATTTTAAATGACGTTTTTTGAAGAACAATTAAATCTCCACTTACGCCATTTTTCCACTGGACAAGCGATATAATAAGAGATAATATAGTTAAGGTAATAATTATCAAAAAGAATGGTTGATTAATTATAAATTAAATGAAAACTTATATTATTAAATATTAAGAACAAAATCATGATTAGAGCAAATGGAAATGATAAAGGTCAGAAAAAACATAAACAACCAAACAGTTAACTTGGGTAAAAAATCTAAAACACACATTTTCAATTTATAGCTTAAACCCTTAAAAAATAATTTGATCATGCATATTGACTGTTATAATATACCCAATAATTGATGATTTCCACTGTATTTGTAGTGGTAGCAGCAGACTTTAATATCTCGATCAAAATCTGTGCCACAAAAAGATCGTACTGGTAAGGTTATTGGTTTCCATCTAGGATTTGTGGTCCAATTAACAACTTCGGTTCGATATACTAACTGATACTGGCCATCTTCACACACTTTAAAAAACTCCAGAAATGGATAAGCCTTTACTAACCAGGAAAAAAACCTAAAGGACAAATACATTTACAAAAAAACTACTTAAAATAACAATTTTTATGAAATTTTTAAACCAATTCTAGTCTGGTTAGGTCTTAAGCGAGTTTCTCTGAGTATTATTAGTAGCATAAGTTGTACAAAAAAATTTAAGTAAAATACAATACAACAGAGTATTATTTTTTCCATTATTTTGAATAGTATTATATGAATTTTTTATATACAAAATTCTATTACTAAAATAAAGATTTCCTAAGAACTAATTCTTCTACTAAAATATATTTAAAATTTATAGTTTTTGAGAAATTGTTTGTTAGTAAATATATGAAGATCTAACGCTTCAGAGCTAAAATATTTTGGATCAAATTTCAAATCCCTTATATTCTTTTGGTTTAGGACCAATATTTGTTCATAAAATAATTAAATATTAAAATAACCCCCTAAACACAAAAATAATTCTCTGTAGTGTCATGTATTTCGGCAGCAATGTTACTGTCATCTCTTGAGTTTGTTATGGGTTGATGATGGAAACATTGCTGCCAAAATATGTATACGCTATAGAAAATTATTTTTGTGATTAAGGGTTTATTTTAATATTTAATTATTTTATATTATTTAACCACAAGTGTTATTTAGGTTTTTTTCTAGACAATGTTTATTTGTTTAACGGGTTTTCTATAATTATTATAATAAATAATCCTTACTTGGATACCCAATCGTCTTTTTCCAGGTTTTTTCCGCTAAAGTGTAAAGTCACTTCATCATGACATGCTGGTAGTTCTTCAGCTTTTACAATGACTTGACCTCTGTTATTAGATTTAGCTCCCTTTAAGGGCAATGTAACTGTTACGGAAGAAACAATCTGAAACATACTGTAAATTATAATTGACCAACCAATAAGGTGAAAAAATTTAAGATATTACATGACCAAGAGTAGTTTCACATGACCCCAAGAAATCTTGAGATCGAAGATCACTTAGTTTAGAATCTACATCATAAACTTCTACTTTGATATTTTGCTGAACCTCAAAGCGGTATAATACATGAACCTTAAAATTGTTTATAAAAAAAAAAGTATATCATTTATTTTGTTATCATGAAATTATAATAATTTATAATACTTTGGTAACAAAATCAGGATTCAAACTGTTATGGATACATTCAGTGCGACATATTTCACTCCATCTGGATGTTTCTGGGGTTTTCAAATATACAACACACATAGGATCAGATTTAGAGAATACATCACAGTCTAGCAGATTTCTAAAAGAAACAAAAATAATATTAGTTATAATACAATTTGTTAAGTATTTCAAAACATACAAAACAGTATCTTTAAACTTTAGAAATTATTTTCTACACGTGAATTCCATATATAATACACCAACTCATTTATCTAAAGTATATTTGTATTAGTACAAATTCCAATAAATCAACTTATTGCTTTTTATTTTGAATTATGTAATTAATGTTACAAGATTTATTATTTAGCTTGACAGGCCTTGAAAGCCTAATGCTGTCATTATGTGATGGAGCTCATTATTATAATATGTTTTACCAATATAATCAATATCATTACCTATCTCTATACGACAATATATTTCCAATATAGGTTTAAATATTATTTATAAAGAATAAAACTCTACTCAGTAATATACATTTAATTTTGGGGTAGCAAAGCCAAGTTAGTTACTGTCCTCATAATTAAAAAGTTTTATATGATTCATAACACTACGAGTCATTACTCTTAAGACTGTGATTCATGATTTATTTTTTAGGCTAATAATACAATATGATAGCAATAGGAAACAGACTATGGCATTTTTACTCTATTCTAACACTTTTACCAGATTTTTATTTTATTTAGCTAAAAGATCTTCTTTATTGTTGACTATTAACTGTTATATTTGGCCTAAATATTACTCATATTTTTGTTGGTAACCTATTAAGAGAGGGCCCTGATTTATCATAAATGTATTCTTTAACTCATTCAATAATTATTTATTATCTTTTTTCTGTAGAATTACAAATAAAGTTGTTCAATAAATAAATAGTTATTTATTAATTGTGAATAAATACCTTGTTTGTCAAATTATCTACTATTTATTATATTATTCAAAACTTGCCCAACTCTGATAAAAAAAACAGCATTATCAAAAAAACTAACAAAAAGAGCAAGTGAACTTTTCTCCTCAATGCACAGTAAACTTGCTTTCTTGCTCAACCATAACTTTCACAGGATAATTTATAACTATAATTATAATTATTGAACCAATTTATTACAGATATTAGAAAAAATTGAATTTGGTCTGGTAAAGTAAATATATACCACCATATTTACCTACTTATAATTATTATAAGTCACTCAAAAGTTTACATAGCCAATAGTGTACTGAAATTTGTGATTTTTAAAAATATCAATAAACAAACATTTTTAATAATGGTCTATGAATAAAATTAAAAGTATTAGTATACAATTTTTAAATAAAAATGATGAATGTAATTTACTAGAACCATAATAAGTATATAATAAGGTACCTGCAAGATAGTGTTAATTCAATTTCTGATGTAGGCTCTGTTGACGAACCCGGAACAAACGCAGCCATCTCAACAATATATCGTGTTTAATTAAATTGATAGCTAAAGATTAAACTACGTCAAACTAGAAATGAGAACATTGGTCTAACTTCTACTGAGGACAACTACTCACAACAGTCAACACTACGTTTTAACTTTTACAGCAATGAGCAATAGTAAATAGTGGTAAATAGTCAAAATACGCGTATTTTAATTTAGATAATTGAATATGCAATATTTATACTGTTTATTATATCATATTATTATCAGCTATGAGAAAATATTGTAAATAAGTATCACAATGTATGTTGGTATAGAAACTTTTGATAACACGATACGGGCTGGGCATATTGTGATAAAGTGTGTGATTGGATTTCTATCAAAGAGGATACAAATTGAAATATTCAATAATGTGCCGTTTCTCGTAACACGAATGACAATATTAAACAATCAAAAGCTTTAATTGTGTTAAAATTATCATATTTTAAAAATTGTTGTTACTCTCTAAACATTACGATACTAAACAAGCGTATAAATTGATTGAGAATATTTTTAGACAATTTTGGTTTCCCCGTTTTTCCAAGGACACTGTATACACTCTACGTAGATTATCCCCGTAGATTTCACCCGATTTTCCTCCTGTCACTACTTGCGTAAAAGGCGGATGTGTTGTGTGCATTTTCGAACGAATTACCCAGTGCATTTTTTCGCAAATAACAGGATAATATTATTTATATCGTATTATATGGTCAATAATATTTAACAGTATTGCGTCCTAACAGTTTTAAATGTTACAAACCGAAAGGATGCCTGATCTAGTAGAAGTAATGAGAATGGGCAAGGATCACCGCCTAAAGAACAGACAGTTGCCACTGCAAGTTGATGAAAACTTGACAGTAAGCTTTTTTTTTTAAAATATTTGTCCTAATAAAATTATTGTGTAAGCCTCGTAGATACTTTGTTCGGGTCTACAGATGGCCACACTTGCTAGTTGGAACCATGGCCCACTTGTCTCGAAATTCCAACCTACTTCAGTTGTATTAAGGATACCTACTCCATGTCACATTTCCTTCGTCTTTTAACTTCTTTGTGTACTTAAAAACTAATAAACGTCTATATATGTTAATATAATATTTTTAATTTTTAGTAATTTATTGATCCTTTTTTTTTTAGCTGGTAATGGATTTAAGTAATGAAGACTTAGTACAAGATGTGAAACAAGTTCCACCTCTAAAAGTACAAACCCTGGAGAGTTTTGTTAAAAAATACCGATTGTTAACCAAACGTGAGCTTCAAGATGTTCTTAAAGTGTCCATCAAGGAAATATTAGATATCATGAGTGAAAGTATAGATTGTGTTGGATGTCGCAGAAGGTAAAAATGTCCTTACTATTTTTCACTGTATTTCCTTAATATTAATTTTCTTATATAATCATAAAATATTTTTACAAATTATTTTTAAATTAATTTATGTATAAATTACAACCCGGCCTCTTAAACATTTTCTTTGTTGTGAATCTTCTAACTAAGCCTCGGCTGTTGAGGTTCGAGAGAAAGATTCTGAGAAGAATACATGGACCTATACGAAACCCGGATAATGGGGAGTATGAGCGGAGGAAAAACACAGACATAGAAAGACTGTTCAACAAACCAAACATTCAAAGTTTTCTATTATCCAAAAGATTGGAATGGGCTGGGCATGTTTAATGGGCGAAGCAGAATCTGATCAATAAAGTTTTAGCCAATAATCCATCTGGGAAGAGACCACGGGAAGACCGCGCCAGCGGTGGATGGTCCGTGTAAAGAATGATCTAAAAAGAACCGATCAAACAGTAGTAATGGAGAAGGCCGATGACAGGGATCGTTGGAGAGTCTTAGTAGAACCTGCGAAACGCCTTCAAAGTGTGTAAAGCAAAAAAAAAAGAAATTGTATTCTTTGTAGTTAATAATTTTTATAATCTTTGTCATAACCTTACATTATTACATTTAATAAATATGTTTAAACATTATTGCCTGTCAAAATGAAATGCATTATAGTTGTAATGTATAAAATTATTTGAAATACCTATTTTTTTAAAAATGTATACAATAATAATTTATTTTATTTTATTTTCTAGTGCTGAAAAGTTATTTGTTGTTATGGCTAAACTTGGTCAGAACGCATTATTTCCACTTTGTGTGGTTAACAGCTACTTTATTTCAATAAGATTTGAATATTACGATGATGAAAGGTGCATGTATAATTTACTACAAAATACAAATGGGTAAATTACACATTACCGTCTTATATTACGTTAATACCATTTAGTGTAATATATTTTTATATTTACTGTATTTTAGTAATCGACTATCGTCAATTGCATCTAGTCGAAGGCAATCGAAAAAGAGTAGGAGATGTGTATACCATTCCCTAGAGTCCCAAAGGCTTGTCAGACCAATGGCAAGTGGTTGGCAAGACATTTGGAAACACATGACTAATCCATGTAGGGATGAAATTGTGCTAATAGAGTCTAGCAGTTTACTGAGTACTTTAGATAACTATCTTAGAAAGCACAGGTAATTATTTTATTTTTCAACTAAAAATTGTGTTTTATTCCTATTTTTTACTATTTAATAGATTTTGTGGAGACTGTCGCACTAAAGTAATGAAAGCATATTCATTGCTTATTGAAGAGGAAGATCCGTGTAAAGAAAAAGGTTATGTAGAAGAGCTATATTTGGGTATAAAAAGGTGTGTTGGTGATAAGCATGTTCATTTAGATACTGATATAAATTATATTGGAGCACTAATTAGTCGTGCTGAACCTGAACTTATGGGAAAGTAAGTATCAATTATTTTTAAATCTTAAAGAAAATATGTGATTAATAATTAAGTTACTTTAGCCGTAGGGAACGTCATGCCAAAACTATTGAGATAGCTCAAGAAGAAGTTTTAACGTGTTTGGGTATTTGTGTGTATGAAAGATTACACAGAATACAATTAAGAATTAGAGAAGAACAATATACTTGCCAAGTCTTAGCTGCAGCAGCTATAGATGGTTTAGCCAGAAGATTTGAGGTAATTATATTTTTACATATTTTTATATGCAATTATTTTCTTTTAAAATTAATTTAATATTCAAAAATCTTATTAACAAAACACAGACCTCACATAATTATTTCTTAAAATGTAACAATTGAATTAGTTCCACTGTCTTGGTAATTAAAGAACGATGTAAAATACAAGTAGTGTCTATTCAGTGTGACATACATTGTAAGTTCTTCACTATTGCTTCTACTAATGTATACATGAGCTGACAGTTTGTGTATAAACATAAGTGCTTTACAGCAATCACTATAAATGTGTTCTAAACAAATACAATTTATTCAGTAACAGCTGAATTAAACAGATGTTTTTAATTGTTCATATATTTACCACCTATTTTTAAATAAGTATTTTTGTATGATTTTCAATGTTTGCAATATTTTGTTTTAAAGACTGCTATTGAAGTTAAACAAGGGTTTACTAAATTAGACCAGTTTTATGAAGAGTTTTCCAAGAAAGAGAAAAAAACAGAAAAAAGAAAACGGCTTAGGAAACAAAAACGTTTACAAAAAAAAGAATTGAAACAAGACTCTGAGCTAAAATCTTGTTGTGACGTAAGCAATTTTTAATTTAATATTATAATTATGCAACTTAAAATTTTACATTTTTAATTAATTATTTTAATATGAATGCGTTAAAACTTACTCAATTGAATTATTTTAATATCAATTAAAATAGGCTAACCCTGATGAAGATTGTTCATGTGAAGTAGACGAAGAAGTAGATTATGGAGAAGATGATATTGATTATGTTGACGATGAAGATGAAGATGATGGAGTACAATCTAATGTATTTTATTATCTGTTTATTTTAATATGAAATAAAATATTACTTTTTAGGTGTATAACTATTTTAAACTATGATTTTAGGAAAGAGAAGATTCTGATGAAACTTGTGATCATTTGGATGATAACTGTACTTGTGAAAACATTCAGTTGGTTGAAAGAGTGAGAAAAGTAAGTACCTTAGTTTACTTTTAGCTTGGTCACTTGTAGTTAATGTTCATTATTTTAGCAGCTGAAAATGTCAGGTGATAGAATGAAAAGCGTTTCCACTCCTATTAAAGTGTGCAATTGTATAGAATGTAATTCAAAAGGATCACGGAAATCTAAAAAGAAAAAAGGAAATGGGGAAAAAGAAAAGCGAAGCAAAAAAAAGTCCAAAAACACCCAAAAGAATTCAAGAAAAGTGAAAAAGCTGCCAGCTCAAATATCTCATCAGCCTGAGAAGATAATTGATTATGATTTAAATGAAGACGATGATGAAATGGCTGATCAAAATTCTATTGACGAAAATCATTTGTTGGGTGATGATTGTAAATCCAGTACTATCAGCCATGATCTTTTACCGGGTAGCTGTAGTTCATGTCCTTCACTTTGTGATCACTCACAGGATTATGGTTATGCATCAGCAGAAAATAATAACCATAGTAATAGTACTAGTTCGCCAGATGGTTCAGATGTGGCTTGTTCTGAAGGATTTTGTAATCATTCAGGTAGTTTGACATTCAATTACATTTTGAACTTACATTATTAAAACATTTAATTACTCAAAAAATAGCAATTAAAATCAAATAATGTAGTATACCTATAGGTAATTGGAAACCTGTACCAGCATTTGTTTTTTAATATTTAAATGAAAAATGTGCTCTAGTATTATAAAAATTTGAATAAATATTATTCATTGTTAATATCATACATTAGATACTGCCATTCAGTGTAAATCAGTCTAAATAATGCACATGTATTTTTATTATTATTGATATATTCAACTTAAATGTTAGAATTTTATATTGAATTCCAAAATTAATAAATACTATTAAAAGTGGTAGACATTGGTGCAATTCTAGGGGGTCTTAAAGTATAGAAACATTCAAAAAGCCTACATTTTTTCAAGTAGGAAATTTATTGATCATGATTAATTAAATACATCCGACTCAAAACTTACAGAGTATTGAGTATACCTAGCCGCCCTGCACCAATGGTTGTAGATTACACTTTGTTTAAGGAGAAATAAAATAAAAACCTATTAACATAATATTAATGTTGTTGTTATAATTTTTAGGGGAAACTCAGTTAACCAAATTAAAATGCTATTCGGATGTTGGTACAGTATCTTGCAAACCATTACCACTTCATCATTTATTACTAGAAGAATTGGTAAGTAATTTTTATTTTATTTTATGGATACTAATTGAGTAAATAGTAGAGGTAATGTTAAAAATTGTAGTTTTTAACATGACTCAAAATTTTTTTCTAAATAATATGTATCACAAGTCACAACATAAATTTATTCATAAAACAAATCAAATATATAACTGGGTACACATCGAGACACAATTGACATAGCACAATGCTACTTAGTTAACTTAGGAGCACATATTGAAGAACAAGCATGGCAGCAGTACTGCGCCTATATAGGTCTACGTCATAGTTTGTTGCAGACATACTTTGGGAAATATATTATAAACAAATAATTATACGCCCCCATAGGTAACTGTAGTTTTTCCCACACTAAGCTGTGCTATGTTTCTCAATATGCCCCAGACCTCAAATTAAGGCTGATAGATAAGGACTAACAAGATTGAATATACAGCAGATGTGTTTCTTGTCAAAAGTTGGATGATATAGCCCTTGGTTACTAAGTCTCCCTAGAATCAAAGAGAAACCATCATTTCCTAGATAAAGTAAAATGCATCTTTTAGATTGCATTCGTATTATGACCTGAGCCCTCTAGTGATAAGAATCCAGTCAGAATTTTTATAAAAAAATTGAAGTTATACAATTTCTCTTAAAAATGGTTACACTTATATGTATAATATTGTATACATATATATATATGTACGAGTTTTTATAAAAATCTAACATAAGTTAAATATAATATGCAATTTTTTTTTTTTTTTACAGGAAAAAAATACAATCGTCATGGATGAAACAATCATACCATCAGAAGAAGTGGAAATGTATAAAGTTTGTGCAAGGTTGGTGAATGAAAAACGCCTTAAACTCAGAGAAACATTAAAGAGCGGCTTTGCCAATTTAAAAGACCCTCAAATGTTATAAGTCATTGTTGGAGTCACTTCCCTTATTCCAAAACATTTTTTTAATCCGTTTAGTTTTTTTTTTTCATTATACTTACTTATATAATATAGAATCATTTTTTTTTCTTTTTTGCATACATAAAAGTATTTTGTTTAGTTGATATTTGTGAATAATTTGTTCAGACTCCTTTTGATTAGATCAATTCAAATTTATTTAAGAATATTTTTTATATCATAAATTTAAATTTATTAATGGAATATAATAGTTTATTTGATAACCATTATTTTTATAAAATGCTTATGATCATATTTTTAATCCTTTTCCATTTTATAACAAAGCCATTAGAATTTAAATACCTTCAATTAGTAATTAAAATTTTGTTGTAAAAAAGATCTTTTTGGATTCTCATCAATACTAAAGACTATATATTTTTTATTTATACTAGTGAATAGGTTTTAAATTATTTATAGGTAGTTTTCTTATGAAAGTACGGATTACATGGTCAATAATTCAACTGTTTTTTTTTTTATTATATTTAATTTTATGGATTATTTTCCTCTCATGTTAACTAAATTTTATTAAAATAACTCAAAAACAGAAGATAGTTTTATATTTACATCAATATGTAACATCTTAACATTTTTAATGTTGTTGAATTTTCAGGAATATTAATGCAATAACTATAGGAGTAATAACATTTTTAAAAAAAATACAATTTAATAACAAAATGCTTTATTTTTCTTAAACATACTAGCCATGTATGGCAAATTGGTATTTATTTTCTACTGGAATCTTATAATTATAATAGTACCAAATATGAAACATAGTCATTTACAAAATCATATGTTTTTTAATGCAATTAGGAACATGAAGTTGTTTGACATCATATTCTAACAAACATCCTAGAAGAACATTCGTGTCAACAATTTTGCCATTTAATATATGTAAAAAATTATTTTTTTTATCTTTGCCGGAGTAATACATTCGCAATCGCTTGCTAATATAACTATCCGACAGTGATAAAGTACCAACTGGTTGGTATTCTTGACTATTTATAGAATAAACTTCAATTTGAGCTCTCAAACATTCCCAATTATCTAACTTTGAAACGGGTAAGTATATTATACGATAATTTAAACCTATCTCATCATATAACATTTTATAAATGGATATCATTTTATCAAACTGATCTTTAGATTGGTGTTCGTCTACTGAACCAATTAACAGATTTACAGCATTTGTTTGTACAGTTGAAAATAACCCTATGCTATTATTGGGCAGTTTATACGAACGGCCCGAGGCATATAACTTCAATGGTAGTTTGTTTCCAGCGATGATTTGTTTAGTAAGTAGAGCACAGAATGATTGTAAACTAGCGCCTCCAACTAAATGAAGGTTTTGTTCACTTAGCTTTAATGTTGCATCATGATTTGTATAATCTAACCCACATCCTTCAATTATAAGACTCTTAACCATATCTGAATTACAAAGTGGTATAAAATCGAGACTTTCTAGCGAATCTTTGAAGTAAGTTAAAGTTGCAATTTCAAACAGAGCTGCCTCATTCATCAGATAGACCATGACTGAATTTTTATAATCCAAACAGCCCAATGCATTTCCAATATCAATATGATTCAACTTATTTGCATTGAAGTTAGACTTTCCATCATATTGCTGTAGAATTCTAGTCTCCACTACAGGACAATCCGGATGTAAATTATTAGGTATACTTAAACTAGGAATGACCAATTCTTTTTCTAAAACTGATATTTGTTCTCTTAGTTGCTGTAATTCTGTTGAAATAGAACGTCTACTTTCTATTATCTGTTTAATTTCAGTTTCGTTATATTTTTTAGTTTTTAATTTCTCTGTTAAATTTTGTTTTTCAAGATTTAATCTAACAATATTGTTTCTTATATGCTGAAAACTCGGCCACTTTTCATGAATATTTTCTACATTGATGTTTAAACCTCTTAATCTCACGTTGTGTTTTAAAGCATTTATGTTTTTTAACTGATTCTCTAAATCTACAAAAGGTTCAACTATAACATAAGTTTCAGAAGTTTGATTATATGGTATATACAGTTTAGATGTACTATACAATCTATGTAAATTAACGATATTACGGAGAGTAATAGGAAATACTTTAATCATATTAAATATCTATATTTAATGAACAAATATCTACTTCTTCAGGTTCTTTATATTCTTCTACATTTGTTGGTTGAGTAGATATAATTCTTGCCTTAGGTGTGACATAACTTCCAAAGCCAGCAGCACGTTCAGATTCTTCAATAGTGTAAGGTTCAAGTTTAAGTTCCTTAATTCGCTTTTTATGTAATTTTGTACGAAAATGGTCTTTCAGAACTTGTTCACTCAAAAAATATCGCCTGATTGAATAATATAAGCATAAAATATTATTATAAGTAAATATGAAGTCAGATATGAGAATACATTATATAAAAAAATAAACAATTTTAAAAAACGTACGCGCAATGAATGCAGTAATGTTGTCCCTCGCCAGGTTTATCAAAGTCGAGAGCTTGCTTTAACAATCTATCAGCATTTTCTTTTTTTAAATCATTATCTACCTAGAAAACAATAATTTGTAATACAAACTTTTGATATTTACTCTTTTTTTTTTTTTTAATACATTTGTTCGACAACTATTCCTTAAGACAAACATCAAAATTAAATTTATATTAACAGTGCGTGTCGATAATGGAATATTAAGATTAAATATTATACTCATTCCTAGAACTTTTACCTGACTTTCTTTAAAACCACAATCTAGGTTCACGTCTCTAGTCAAGTACTTAGTAGTATACCACAATATTTATTTAAACATACAAACAACAGCAAAACAATTTGAACTAAATGTCAAATTAAACTTAATATTTAAATTAAAACAATTATATTTAGGTGTTTTTTCCATTCCAACAACAGAATGCTGAATGATTAATACAAAGTAACATAAAATAATGTTTGTAAATAATATTATATTATAAAAAAAATTTTAAATGACATTATAAATATATGCAATTACCTCATCAATGTCTCTAGCTCTGTACTTGGTTTTGTAATTTCTCTTATAAAATGTGTCTCCAACGTGATGTTTTTTTTTCTTTTGTGGTCCAGGCATCTACAAAGTTAAGGATCATTGTTTTAAAATGATAAAAACTATATTGATAATTTACAATATCTTGATATACTTCTCAAATGCCCTCGACTGATATAGCAACAGTTTCTTCAGTCCTAAAATGACTTGTGTCTTCAAATTTTTAATCGAATTGTTTAAAATATATTATTATTTATGTCACACAAATTATTTCGAACACGAAATACCTACAAATATAAATTTTAAATACGTCAAACAATACACGAGACACGAGCAGCGAGCTGATAAGTACGAGAAAACATGCTGGTCTACACTTTACAGTCCTAACCTTACTTTTATGGAAAGCGGTTGTTAGCGTAGACCTATAAAGAAATGGAATGCGCCTCCCACACACCCCGCCTATACTGCCGCGTAATGAACATCGTTAGAAAGAGATAAATAGAGTTGTTAGGTTTCCCATGGAATAAAAATTGAAAAGACATGTGGAATAATAAAATACTATATATATAAATATATACATGTATATATGACAATACATCATAGATCTATAAAGAAATAGGTCTATGGCATCGAGATAAAGAATACTTTATCTCTTAGATAAATCAGAATGGACACTGATAAGAAATAACGTGTCCCATAATAGGCAGGCGGCGAAATCACTCCACCAAGAGTGCCCATGAAAACCAGAGTGCCCAACTATGAAAATTCAAAATAAAAGGAAAATTCCCCCAATTTATTTTGGGTTCGAATAATGAACATTGTCTTATGTTATTGTTAGTTGAAACACTAAAAAACACTAAACAGGAAAACTGCTATTGTTACTCAATACCTACGTTCTACTCGAACTGGTATTTTTCTATTTAGTTGTCAGTATTCTACAGTACTTATGTTTATTTTTGTCCATTCGTCTAAACTGAAGTAACCATTGGTTTGACGTTCATTTGTTTGTTGTTTGTTACCCGACTTTGGCAAGAGCTCCTGAAATATAATATAATTTATAGTCTACATATTACGTCTTAAAGAATTACTAAAGATGAATACAATTATTCGTTCAAATTTGAAGTGTTTGTATTCTTTAAATGCATTCACAATGAGGTATACGATTTGAAAAGTTTTAAATTAAAATTTTCTAAAATATTTATTTTACTGGAAAGTGTATAATTTTACATTTAAATATCAAAATATTTTACAGTTTTAATCGATGTGCAAGCGGACTCGGTGATTTGGGAAGTGGTGCTGGCAAAGGAGGTGGTGGTGGAGGATCAATCAGAGATGCAGGAGGTGTCATGGGTAAACGTGAGGCTGGTCTTGAAGAAGAATTTTTCTACAAAAAGGTTATTTTTTATTTACAAAATTAAAACATTCTGTTAAATACCTAAGAGCGCGTATTGATTTGTTTTCTAGCAAAAAGATCAGTTGAACAAGTTGAAACAAGAAATTGATTTTCGTAAACAAGAGATAGAAAGGCACATAGAAGAAATTAATAAAGCTAAAGCAGAATTAGATAAACAAAATTAATTGTTTTATTTACAATAATTATTCATGTGATTTTTATTTGAAGGAATAATATTTTTGAGTTTGATACACTAAATAATAAAATACATTATACTATTATGTTTAATAATACAGAAATTATGAAGTATAGTTATTAGTAAAAATAAAGTTAACTTAATAACTCTTGGTATAAGGCAATAATAAACATTTGTTTTGACATCAGAGATCTGAGATACGTCTATATGCCATCATGAGATCATGGTTTCTAGATGAATTCCCTGTCCATTATGAGTCGTCAGTCTGTCGCCGGAAAGGAGGGATGGTGGCTTCTTTTCATCAGATAATTTCTCGCCCAGCAAACAGAGCGCTTGTAACTGGGTGTCAAGCCAGCGATAGTTTTTAATGTGTTTATCTTTGATGTTTTTAGTTACTAAAAAAACCTGAATGTCATTTTGTCACACATTTCGTCAGCTGTTTTGAATAAAGTGAAGAACGCATGAAATATTGAAAATGATGTATTATTATACACAATACAACAATAAATTTCGAAAAATATCAACTTGGAAATTAAATTTTTATGTATACTGCAAAAATTGTAAAGCTGACATAATACGTAATATAAATATCTATAGGTAAGCAGGGCTAGTCGAGAATGCGTCAATGGCCTCGGAACCTGATCATTTAAATACATTTTTTTTTTTTTTTGGTGGCCTTTTTAGAGATTCAGAATTTAGGGACCATATTGATAGAATTTATTTTTTACTTAGAAAATATAAATATTAAGTGATGACAAATTTAAACATAATCTATTTATTAATTATTAATTTATATTTATTTTAATAATTTTGAAAATACATAAGCAAATTAATATCTGTAGGCATAGTCCCCCACCCCAGTCAAAATTTTGTTGGAATGCAATATTTTTAGAAATGTACCAATTAAATAAATAAAGCAATTTATTCTAATACTAGACAACTTATGTATTTAATAACATTTCAATATATATTTTTATATTTTATAATTAAAATGTAGTAAATAAGTGATTTACTCAAACCAGCAAAATCTACATATTATACAGTTTGATATAAACGTATACACTTGTGTGTATATATACATTTTTACTCACGTCTATTAAAAATAGCATCAGTGAACAATAATAGCATAATATATGTAGGTTTCTTAACAACTAGAAGTGTGTAGTACAGTTGAGATACAGCCCTCAGCAAATTTGAATGTCACATTTATTATCATAATATTATATTAATTTACATTAAAACAATAATATTCCTATTTATTATATAAAAATTGATTCATTTGTTATGAATTTTAGTTACAAGGAAGAAAACATAAAAAAATATCACATATTTTTCATTTTACAAAACATATTCCATTTAAAAACATGATAAATTATCTAAACAAAAACATATTGGCTACAAATCTAAATATATTTTGATCAAAAAGTCGACTAGAAATTACAGCAGCTTATGAGTATAAAATTGGTTAATAGTTGAAATAACATTTTAGAATTTAATACTTGACACATTAAATATCGACATATTAAAAAACAGTTTTTAAAGAAAAATTATCTTGTTTTGTACTGAACATTATCAATATGCCCCGAACAGCCTTTTTGAATGATTAGTAAGATATATTGTGATCTCAACAAATTTAACAAAATAAAATCTATACAAAACAATAACAATAATGGAAAAAACTGTAAAGACATCACGGGAAAGAGGAATGTGCTAAATTTATAAGACACAATAACAATAATTCACAAAGGTAGTAACAATCTAAATCACAAAAAAAAAAAAAAACAAATTGTCTATATTCCATAGACATGTTACTGCCATTATCAGGATCCATCTGAAGAATGACAGTGAAAACACGACCAAGAACAACATCAAAGATTATCATACCTGTTACGGTTAGTGGTTCTTGCTAACGAGCAAATCGGAAATGACGTCGTCCTTTTTGCAGACCTAAGATAACGATACACATGAGAGTTAAAGACTTATGTAATTATTTGCATGCATTTACAATAGATGCAATGTACATAGAGCAACCTAAGTAGGTAACATAACAATAGGTAAACAATCTTTATACTTCAATCATGAATTAAAGTGCACAGAAGGGTACAGAAGCATAGATTATACAGGGTTATAAAATATGGGGTTGAAGAATTATGAAATCCACTTAATTTAAAAGACATTCAATGCATATCAATTTTAGTGTAATATTGGTCTTCTACAGACATTTAAATTTTTTTGTTTAAAGCATTGGTGTAAGGAAAAACACATTAGGAGGTAAAAAAAATGTATAGATGAGTGTGAGGATGAGTGTTTATGATCCACACAAATATTGAGTTTACCTGGCATCTACTTGCACCATAATATGCGGTCAAGTATGCATCAATTATTGGACCCGTGCACATCGCCAGATCTCTTCTCGTGACACCTGATTAAGACAAGTTCACGATACTTTATAGAGTAATCTCAGAAAAATCTAACTCTCCGAGTTTTTTTTTTTACACTTATTTTATTATACACTTGAATGGTATAACATTATCAGCAACTCCATTTTTAATAACAAAACAATCATTTGAAAACAAATTTGCTAAAATTCAAATTTTGAAACCTTCCTACATAAAATTATTATGCAAGTAATAAATTAAAAAATATTTATTATAGAAATTGATTGCATAGAAAATAATTACTTATTACACAAAATTTTGCAGTTTACAATTTAATACGAGTGTTTTTATTATAACTGAATGATTTTTAAGAGTTAAAACTCTTATATTATTTATAATATTTTTTATTTAGAAGCGGGATAATTGAAATAAGCACAAATCTAATATATCAAAAATGTCAAACATACCTTCTACGTCTCATAGACGTATTATGTCCAAATCGTCCTCTTGGTGTCAATAACATTCGAGCATTTCCTTGTGCTGGTCTAGAACCTCCGTGACATTGTAATGCAGATAAATGTGCGGCATATCCATCACATAATACTGTTGCCATAGCATGGTGCTTGCGCCCCACTTTGCCAATAATAAAAATCTGTTTGGGTTTTAGATCAAGAGCACTGTACACAGAAATATCCTTACTACTTCCATAAGCAGCATGTATAATCATTTTATGATCCTAGAAAAAAAATTATTGATTATTAAGTGATTATCTGATTTTTACAAAAAAAAAAACATATTTTAAAATATACCTGAACAAGACTTTTAAGATATGTAATTTTATGAGCAAGAAAATCTGTAGAAAGCCCATCGGCAAAAGAGACTAGTCCATGTGGGAAATTATGCTGACTTAACCATGATAAAACACGTTGTTGTTGCATATCAGGTCTTCCTGTAATATAAACAATCAGGTACCCCAAATCTTGCCAATGTCTGAAATAATAAAACAATGAGTAAATATTAACATTTTTATTGTAAAATGAAAAAATTAAGATCAGTGAATGATAGTATCTTTACTTTAAAAATAAATTGAATAAACTTATTATATAATACCTCACAATATCAACAGCTCCTGGTCTAACTTTTGGGTCACGACCAGTAACAGAGACACTAGCAGAAAATGAACCATCTATACTGAATACTACAATTTCAGTTTGAGGTGGAACAACAGCTAACAAAAAGTCAACACTGGTATGATCCCCTCTGTAAATAAGTTTTATTACACAATAACTATATTACAATATATTAACATATGTAAAGCACCAATTACCTCACAACCATTTTAACTGGGTAAATACCAAATCCAAGGGATTTATTTTCAGGAATAGTATATACAACACGTCCATTTTTGTCCGAGTCTTCTGTAGTTAAATGGGACCATTCGCCACTACCAGGATCTCTGATGATATGAATATCAACTTTTTCACCTAATAAGAAAACACGACATTAATATTTTCTAAGTATCAGAAATTGTTTAAAGAATAATTTGAGTGTACCAGCTAAAGAGAACATATCAAATGGACCATAAATAAAACGAGCACTTATAGTTTGAGGCAAACCTTCTCGAATAATTACATCGTTAGCTCGATGACTAGCTGTAGAATTCTGTGTATCATTTAAATTGATTAATATTAAAACATAATAGTAAAATATATTTTACTATTTTATATTTAAGGAAATAAAAATTACTTTGATTTTTATGAAAGTTGTTTTACGTTGCCATTTCTCACGTGGTTGACTTGGACTAAAGCTAGCTAATTCCTTTTCTTCATTTCCAGCTGAACTGTTGTAGTCAAAAGTCACAAACTGAAATACCACATGATGTTATAATTTATTGGCAAACTAATTTACAACATTTCCAAACTACTACTTGTCTTAGAATAAATGCAATGACGTCTGAAGATTCCCAATAACTAGCATGGAATATATGAGGTAATGCATTTGTTGGAAAATTGGATAATCCATCAGGACAATATAAGGCATAATCCAGTCTTTTAGATCCCCACCATTTTTTAGTCACTATATAATAATTAATAATTCAAATATTACTACTTCAGTAGTAGTTTACAATATCAAAAAAAGCAATTATTAAATACTTACATTTATTGATTGCTTGAATTGGTAATGTATCACCAATTCCAGATACCGTACTTAAAATACTAGCTTCAGATGTGCGTCTAGTATGGTTTGTTTCCGAAAACAGTTGAGGGTTTGTTTGCACTGCTTCTACTATACATTTATACTTATATATAAAGACAAATTACACATACACAGTTTCACGCCACATCAGGCATGTCTCTTAATTTCTTCAAACTTGGAGGATCGATGATGGATCAAAACAACAGAGAAATGTAAAATTTGAGCAAATTTGGTACACTTTTGTATATTTTACAGCATACACAACACAAATAGCCAAATTTATTTATTTCGACATTTTTAAAAATAAAACAAGAACAAATTTACATAACATACTATCTACAAGGCTGTTTTCTAAAAAAAAAATGTTTTTAATTTTATTTCTAAAGTTTATAACATATTTTTTTTTGTTATAAACAAGTAAATACTTTAAAAAAGTCCCATTTTTAATAAAATTAACTAAGCACGGAGTTTTATACAAAATTTGAGTATTTAGTTCTACGCGCAACACTATACAAACAAATTCATAACTTCTACAACTGTGGAGTAAACTTAAAAGTTAAATGCTCAAAATTTAGGCTGTAAGAACAACTTTCAAAAAATAAATTTGTGAGAACATTTTTCTTAGAAAGGAGTCTTGTAGCAAGTACAATATGTGAATTTTTAGTTTTTAAAATATTTAAAAAAAGGAAATATAGTGATTTGTCTTTTTTTTTTTTTTTTAATGTGCCTTTATTTTAACAATATTACAACACAACATTTACTAATAAAAATATTTTCAAGACTATAAAAACAATAAAACATGCAAAAAGAAACAATTAAATAAGAAATCCAGCTTTGGAAAGGAAGGAAATTAGGAGGACGATAAAGGAGGGACAACGGGAGTTTAAAAGAAGAGAGGGGTCAAAGGAGGTATAGTCGAACAAGATTTGTGTTGTTCATGCTATAAAATCTACAAAATAACACCAAATGTTCAAATGTTCAATTTTTAGATTTCTCTATTATTTTGGCTCTTTTATTGATCCTCTAAGTAAAGAATAAAATATGAGATAAATTGCAATGTATATAAAAAAACAATATAAATATAATATTTTAATTGCTTTTATAAAAACTAGTAATAGTATTAAAATTACTTCAATAACGATTATAATTACACACTAAACATTTTCTTTATTTGAAAGATTATTACTTAATTTTTAATATACTTCATTATTTATTTTAAACTTATTTGTGAGTTATTTATAAAAAAAATGAATAAATATAATTAATGATAGCTTACGCAAGTAATAAGGTTGTCCGGTTCCTAATGGATATTTTTGATAACGTGGAATGTTTACAGGTGGTAAAATCGAGAATTTAGCAGAGATCAATGGTTCTAATCTTGAAGCTATTGGATCAGATGGATGAAATAAGTTATATATCTGTTGTAAAGAAGGACGTCGAATTGATGCTAAATAAATAATTGCAAATATTAATAAGATAATAACTAAAATTTTCAATTTTGAATTTATAACACTGTATATATATATATATATATATATCTTACCAGATTTATCATTCTTATGTGCTGACATTTTTCTAAATGCTAACACAAGTGATAAAGGTGATGCAAACATAAACATTTCATTAACTTCAAACTCCAAGCAAACATTGTCACTGAATAGTAAATTCAATAGTACAACATTAAATTAAAATTTATTCGCATTTCCAAGATGAATCTTTAAAGAATAATAACGTACTTGTAAGACGATTTCCGTCTCAAGGGTGGAGTAACTAAAACCTTGAAAGCTGAATCCATACTGGCAACTGATGTACAATCATCTTATGTTTGAAAAAAAAAAAATTTACACCATTATCATTCAATCAAACTTTATTAGCTATTATATATAAATACCAATGTCATTTTTTTTCATAATGTGTTCTGGAGTGCTGTGTCTACTGTTATTGTGGGAAGTTCTACATAATGCATCATATCCTATTACTGAACCCATCGAATCGCCTATGCAATGTATAAAAATATTAAAATACAAACTATTAATTATTGATTACATGATAGATAAAAACTGTCGCATCATTAAATAGCACAAATAAACATATACTAACCTATAATATAAACCCGACCGTTAAATCCAAAGCCTTCACTAGATTTAATAAAATCTCGATAAACTTGATTAGCCATACGAATAACACTGGATACAATCTCTAAATAGTCATGAGAACATCCAGCCAATATAGGAATAGCGCCAATTGGAACAGAGTCATGTGTAATGTTTGTAGATTCCATACCTGATGGAGACACATCAAAGCTATAAGGACTCAGCCTAAAAATGAATACATACAGTATAACAGTTATATAAACAATATTTCAATTTTTATTACTTTGATAACACGCTCAGGCCTTCAGCACAAATAGATGGACATGGAATAAGTCTCATAGCAACGCGACCAATCATATTCGGATAATGCTGCCTCATAACAGATTCAAAAGCTCCTCTAAACGTAGTAAAATCTGATTTTTTTGCCATTAGATCAGAATTCGCATCTTATTTTTAAAACAAACATGGAAGTTAGCATTTAACTTAGCTTACATTTTAATTAAAAAATAAAAACATACCTAACACACTACCAGAATGTATTATCAATAAAAGGGCACTTATTTGACAATTTGTTTCTTTGTTGATTACAGGCGAACCTGGGCATGTATCGACACTATGACCTCTTTGAATAAAAGGTGATGGTTTTTTTGTAGTGGGCGAAAATATGCTATCTTCTATCATGCAATCAAAACCAAAAAATATCAATAAAAAAAGGTTATACATCAATAATTGATCGTCATAATAATGATAATCAATCAGTATAAATATAGTAGACTTTACAAACCATCTTTTTCAGGTAAACTAGATGAATCAAACTCTTGTTCATTTAATATAGTTAATGAACTCCACTTGGCTAGTGAAACAATTTCAGATGATGGAAGAATTTCTGTAAGAAAAAAAACAATGTCTAAGTTACTTTAAGATTATATAAGCTTCAACGAGTTTAAATAATAAAATAATAAAATAGATTAAGTTTAACAAGGGACTTACTAAATTACTAAAATTAAAATATTTTTAGAATAATAAAATCTATATTAACCTTGACAATCAAAAAACTCGTCATCATTACTTAAATCAGAATCAGAGTCTCGAACCAAACTTTCCATTCTCCAATTAGGTGCAGTTTCATAACTTTGAGTTGATCCTGGAGAGGGTAATTGAGACTTGGAACTACTCCAACTTTTTTTTACTGGAATACGCCTAAATAAAAACATATTTTGTGCAATAACTTCATTATTGTAATACATAAGTCCGTTACAAAATTGCTTATTAAAATTTGTAGAAACACGAGTTAACGATCAGTCATACGTCTGCTATAACGCCATTCCCCCTCCCCCTATATGGCGTTATGGCTATTATATAAGGAAGATTTAATGCTGGTGTGTCCTCAGTCAGCTGTTAGCACTGAAGATGACAACATAATTGTCACGTATCCATTAATCCACAAGTGACTCTAACTTAAATTGAATATTTTGTGCAATTTAATTTTTTTATGTCGCAGCAGTGCATTGTGAATTGACATTAATAATAACTACAGACATTTTAGAGATCATATTATTAACTTTTGGAGAGAATTTAAATGTTTATTTACATGCTTGACGTTGATGGTTGAACATTGCTTGATATTGTTTCAGAACTACTAGATGCACACGGTGCTTGAGAATACAAAGTAGCATCTTGCATACGTTTTGATGTAACAGGTGTAGTAATTTCGAGATCACTTTTTTCTATACTACCCATTGTTGCAGCCAAACTAATTTTTGTGTCTTCTACAATTTCAGTTCCATCACCCATTTCAGAATCACTGCTATTACTTCCCATTTTCCTTTTAAGCGCCTCTTGAGTTTGTCGTTCAATCTGACGAATATCGTCCATAGTTAAATTAACCCATTCGTCTTGCCAAGCCCACGCTTGACGATGTGCTCGAACCATAGTTTTTCTTAATGCTTAACACAAAAAAAAAAAACAACAATTTTAATTGTATTAGTAGAAAAAACACTTAATGCTATTAGCTAATCTCAGTATTCAAATAAATAACTAACCAACTTCATGAATGAATTTTTCGATTTTAGTTTGCATACCCCAATAACGAAACTCAACTTTACACAACTTATATGCACACATAATTGATTTACCAGAAGCTGTAGGCATAGTTTTGTTCTAAAAACGTAAGAAACTTATTAATAAAATACACTTTTATTATTATTTTAAATTTGGAGTATATTACTTGGCATTCATTCCAATAATCAGAAATCCAATTGTCTGATAAAGGTCCACGGCCTGTTTTTTCACTGACATAACATGATGGGTCTTCTTCTTTGATATAGTCGGCACCATATAATTGGTCTTTTACGATATCTATTAAATCTAAATTTTTTATTTATTTTTAAAGTAAATTATTTTTATTCAATTTATATAAAATATAATGCTAGATTTAAAAAAAAAAGTCACCAAGGTGGGATTGGAGTATAGTGGGAAGAGAGCAGAATGAGGTTGGTACAGTCACAGGACTGTAGGAATTATTATATCTGATAGTGATGAAATCACTATCTTTCCAATGTATATTGCTAGTACTATTGCTATTTAAAAAATATCTCACACAAGTTATTAGTAATTAGACTCTTTCTAAAAATGTTTAAGAAATAGAAAAAATATATACCTAGGGTGATTTCTCAGTTTTGAATAGAAAGGGGTTAATTTTTAAATTATTGTTCCAAAGGAGTACTTTCATAGTATAATTTCTGATCTATTGGCTTACTACACTATGTTCAACTTAAGAAACACAGTTGATGAAACACTATTGTGGTGGGGTCTATTAGAGTGGCCTCTGACTGTGTTTCTTATCTTAAAGTTTGAATAGATTTAGCAGATATCCATGGTCTCGACACAAAAATTAAAACAGTAATTCTATTACTTTAATAGAAGTCCTAATGTATGCTGAACGTAAAAGGATATCGGATAAAATTAAACTTATTGTGTTATAACTTATAACTATAAAAAATTATTTTAAAAACATCTAAATGACTAATACTAATGAGATTTTTGAATATATACATACCAACAGAAACATTCCGTACTTCACTTGGAGACATTTTGAACACATTATCATAAGATCCATTATCTGGATAATAGTAGGTTTCAATTTCTAAAGAAAATTTCTCTACAAATGGACACGTATATCGGGTTTTAGTATATGGATATGCATTCCAAGCTTCTTCTTCAACAGATAAAGCAGACTTTGGTAATAGACCTTTAAACCAACCTACGAAAAAATATTTATTCATTAATCCTTAATACCAGATTAAAATATATTTAAACAAAACTGTAAATGATGAATAATTACACTTACTTGGTAAATGGCTTCCAACATGATAAATTTTACGTGTATACTGTCCATGACCTGCATTACCATCTCCTCCAGGTCCTCCTTCATATGGTTCATTAACTAAGATTTCAACACCACTGCCAGCTCCTTTGCTTTCTTCTCTGCTTTTTTTCTAAAAAAAAAAAAAAATGTAAGTATATTTTTGTAATAAGTAAATGTATGATGTTAGTTGATTTATACAGCTTAGTTGAACTTTACTCACTGCTATCATATACAGTTGGGCAATTCGATACTCCTCAACACTTAGTGGAAGAGGTATACGATACTCCTTTATCAACATAATGACTTTTTTTCACCAAAAATTAAAAAAACAAATTCTATAACTTAATATTTCAATGATCCATTGTGCAGTCGTGAAAGATGAAAACCGCTAGTTGAGTTATCTAATAACAAAAAAAAAAAAAAAACAATACTTATTTGGAACTCGGCCATTTTTCATTTGACTTATACCAAAACATTTAGAACAATCTGATAGTATTGACAACATATCAATTTATGTTACAACTCACTATTTTATTTTTAAAAGTTTATTTAAAAAAAATAATAATAGAAGATATGAAAAGTGTGAAATGCATGACTCAAGGACAAGTGTGTTTAGCTGATTTGCGCTGATACCAAATAAGGTTTCATTCTATTATTTGTACTTGGTTGGGCTTCCTAAATCGACACACTGCTTTAAATTCAGGACATAGATTATAAAGATATAGTTGACATTAGGGAATCATGACCTTGTTACGATCATAAAATATAAACATTACAGAGTATATTTGGGTAGCAAAAAAATATATACATTTTACACCGGCTTTAGCAAATAAATAGAACTTAATAGATTTAAATAATTAAATTTAACTTGCGAACAAAAAAATAGTGATCTGTTATAATTTGTTCATTGGCTACATGTAATATTACAATAGAAAAGAGTGATTTCTCAAATAACCCATTCAAATGTGAAGGACATCATGAATTGTATTTCCATAAAATAAAACACTGTTCAATTTTTTTATTCAAGTTTATCTGAATGCGAAATCATGTTAATTATCAATTAATTAATTTAGTTCCGCTTCTAAGCAGCATTATTAACGAATCAAATTACCAACAACAATTATGTGTCAAATAAAATTAATTTTTTTAATTGGACTATTAAAATAAAACTTAATTATACTATGAAATTGTTGTCATTTGGTTTAAAAAGGTCAATACCAAATCTTAATTTCGACTATTGCTTAAATTATCTCAAAAAAATAATCTAATATATCTACAGTCCTGGGGAATAACTAGTTAAGTCGATTTTTGTGAAATTGAGATAAGTCTCGTGCCCGAGACATCTTGTCGAAATACATATTGTTTGGCAGCAGGTAAGTATAAAAGTCAATAGTTCTATTGAAACATCCAAGAACAAAATGTCGAACCCATTCATTCAGTGGTGGACAGGACAAGAGGGTACTGTCAAGATTTTAGGCCACTTTAGGTAGCTCATGATTGGGGCAAGTAACGCCCCACCAGGCAAGTTCCTCCCCAGAATGCAATGAATGCACGGAAAGGAAAAAAAAAAAGAAAAAGGTGGCTCATGATATTGTAAAAAATTGATAATAACATAATAATAATTATGTTATTTGAAATTTGAACCACAGCTTTTTTTATAAGACATTGGCCTGCCATAAGACATATTAATGATCTTATGTTTTTCCAAAAGGGAAAGATTCAATTAGTTTTTTTCATACAAAATTCTTTATTTAATTGTTTTATTTTTTACCTGAACTCAAATCTAGTCACAGAATAATTTTCATTTATATATTAAATAACAATTGACAAGCTAGAGAGTAGAGACAGCCTAAAACCAGATTCGGAACATGAAAATAAAATCATAAAATTTGTACATTTTTGTTCTAAAACAAAAAGATCAATTATTATTGTTAATATATAAGAAAAAAAAATGAATTACATTGTAATACAAAATGTTCAATTGTATTTTATTTAACTGATAATTCAGAGTAGGTTACCCACTGACAGAAATAATTAAATTAAAGAAAACATCATTATATATTAACAAAGAGTAACATGGTGGTGTCACTTTGGCCTTTTTTTTATTCTAGCTATGAGGAAAATTAGACGGTTCAAGAAATAAATTGAGAACATTTTTACAGAGGTGACTGTTAAGTAGCTAATTGGATATGACATCCTACTATCAAATTACACAGCACGTCGATTACTGGTTTCCTTCTGTAAACAAATTGATTTTAAATGTTCAAAGTTTTGTTAAATCCCTAATGAATGTTAAAGTAATCGGGCTTATAAGACTGCTTTATATAAAATTATGTTTGATTATAGGCCACTATATTATAGTTTACTATAACATACGTTTTTTGAGTTAATCTAAACTCAAATACGTCCTTGACGAATATTATACAGTAATTTTAAAACAATAATATTATACTACTGTGACATTGTAAAATAATATAAATTTATAAGCGAAAAATAAATCAATAAAGAAACCCCGGATATTTACCATTTTCAGATCATGTTATCCATCCGACAATCAACGAGTGCCCTGGTTGGTATTGCGCGTACAAGATATTTTTTAACATATATCGTCGGAGTCGTTAAATTTAATTAATTTATACATTCGTTTTTTTTGTTAATATTCATTACAATTTCAAGTCGAACCCGTTCAAAACACGTCCTATCAAAGAGTAGTGCACAGCAGAAGTTGACGACACTTCGACCGCGCACCTCGGCAGTCGGCTGGCCAGTTTTTCCCGTTAACAGCACCTCGGCTCCTTATCAGATGGGAGAGCCACTAACGCTCCCTAGCGGATTCGTGTGAAAACAACTGAAAAGGGCACTCGTTCGGCGCACTAACACTGTTACCTATACCTACTTAGCCAGTGGGGCTGGCGGCGAATAAAAATCAACTGGTAGTCGAATTTCCAATTGCCATAGGTACATTGTTAAGTAACACATACGCAAAGTTAAACCTACTAAATTATGTAGGTACCTATAAAAAAATAACGTGATTACACCAAGGCTTAATGTAAAAGTATCTAATGGTGTCCTTCTTAATAAATAATAATTATTTCGCATAATGCAATCACACGGACATAATATACAACGTACGTAAAATTTGTGACCCCACTTTTTCAAACTAGTGTCAATATTTTGAAACCAATTTGAAACACGGTTTTAGAATTTGAAACTTAACCAATTACTCAGAAAAAGAAATTTTATTCGCGAATTTGCGAGTTACTCAAACTATGAGCTTTCAAAGTTTACTTTAGTCCATAACATTATAATATATGTATATGTATTTACAAGACATCTTGGCCAGTACATAGTTACAAAATATATTATTATCGTTGTAGATCATATATTAAATATTGTTAAATTCCCTTTTTCAAAAAAAAATTAAATTTTTAAACTTGTCCGCTATTCCATACATCCGTTATAATCCGGTGTAGGTTAATCAATATTTCTTTCCCTGCAATTTTTAGTAGTTCAGAATTTATATTATCATCCCCTAGAGATCAATACTTTTTAGTGACTATGATTATTTCAATTTCCTCGATACTAGGTGCCGGAAGTTTAGATTCTACTGTATGATACACTAATCCTTCGTACTTTTCATTATTGTCACTTCCGATGCAGTTATTTTTGTTATTTGAAAGTTTTTTAAAAATATTATTGAAATTTGTTTACAATCTCGCTAGGTTCCGATATTATATAACCACTATTATCTGTGATGTCATTAGTACACGCTTTGAATCCTTCCTCAACTGACATACATTTCTTGAAAAAAAATGCTCGGTTCTTTCTTATATGCTTCGATATTTTCTAGACCAGCGGTTCCTAAAAATAAAAATCGCGCCTCCCATGAATAAATTAATTACACATACTCGTACTAGTACGTTACCTTTTGAAATTATCGTTGATCTAAAAATATCGATATTTACCTCGTGCCTCCCAGTTTGGGAACCGCTGTTCTAGAACTTTTCCCACAGCGCGTTTCTGTTGTCTAATCACTTTGTTTGCTAATGTTTTAAGTTTTGAATTATTCATCTATGTTTTCTGGCGTCGGATTTTGCATCATATTTTTCCTAACTAAACTTCACTTTATTCAAAAATACAATATAAAGTACAATACAGTACAAAAACTACTTATATCGGCTAAATATACTATTTCAAACGTATTAAATATTAAAATATCCAAATTTTCTTCTTTTGGTTCCGCCTTCGGAGGAAAATTATTAGGTACACTTTTTTCTAAATCTAACTCATTTGCACCTTTGAATCAATATCAGGTATCAAATATGTTGTTGTATAATATAATAATATATTCTGTGGTAAATTGAGGTATGGACAAAGATGACGTGTTACTTTACTTTATAATCTTATTGAATAATTGGGCGAATATAAATTATATAATATAATACAATATATGTACGTTGCCCCTATTCTCATTTCTCCCTACTAAATTATTAACATTTAACCTAATAATTGATGTCGATGTAATATTATAGTATCAAATATAAGTACTTAAGTAAAATAAATATACTATGCCGTGCATATGTATGTGATAGTTATGGTAAAAATTGAGGCTGTTTATTTCATAAGGTTGTATTATGTACAATTTACAAAATTACCTACACTTTTTACGCCCTTTTGGGATAAACGACCTCAGTTTTATATAGGTATATACTATACATAATGTGTCATTGTATTTCTTAGGAAGGTTTGCGTAAAAAACACTAGATTGTGTTTATCCGTAAAAGATTTATCTCCAACAAAAACCTAACAGTGCAAAAGGGCCATGTTCCAGACCCCATTCCAAAAAAGTCAGCCTATCAACATTGTGGCCAAGTCTGCTATTTCTTTAGTTCATATCCTCACTTTAATTTGATTTTTTTGGCGAGTTAATCAAAAAACCATCTCATGATGGCAGCATTGGGCCTGTTAAGCTACACGACGGTGATGATTTTCTTTTTATGCATATTCGTGTGTTTCGAATCGGTTTGGGGATCATAATAATAATAATAAGTCTGAGAGATACATACATGTCGGCACGCATCAAACGATATGTAGGCCATTTGGGGATGTTTTCGGGTCGAAACCCGGGTCGATGCGATTGTGGGCTGGCGGCACCGGCGGAGACGTTCGCCCGTCGCTCGGCACGCCGGTTATCGCTTGCCACGTCACGTCTATGACGTCAGAGTCCTTTGCGCTGACGTCACTCATGACCTCGATAGCGTACCCGTCCCGTCCGTTTCGCCGCGGCCAGGTATAACCGTTTAGCCCGGCCGAGAGCATTTTTGATTTTGCGTTGCTCTACGTCGATACGGGCACCCACTACGTTCTAGGGATAGGGAGAGGGCGAGGGAACAGGGTAGTACAATATTATGTAACAGTGTAATATTTTAGACCTTTGTGTATCCCAAACAGTGTGCTCGCACGATAGTCGAACACACGGATCTGGGAGATGCATCATGTGTACATGTTATACATTAAGTTTAGGCGCATTGTGTTTGAAATAATAATTATTATTTAAACATTCAAATACCGTGTAATATTATTCTAATTTTTAATCCTTCCGGTGTCCGAAACCTCACACGCGATGCTATGTTTTCCACATAGTGCACCGACGGTCCATTTATTTAGAACGCGAGTCGACCAGTTGCATAACCAGCACATAGTATAATGGCTAAATAGGTATAGCCCGCTGACCCATTTTTGTATTGATTCATTTGATTGCCTATTTGCCTTCCACCAAAAAAAAAAAAAATTGTTAAAAGTCAAATCGTGTAACCTTTAAGTAATCACTATACATTTTTGTCCACTGTCTTGCTCTCTACTCGTCTCACTAAAGTTTATTTCAACACTTAAAAACAAATTGACACATTCATGATTCATAATAGCTCCTATCAGTAACAACGGGTATTTATTAAGAAAATTAAGTATCGCTGTGATTAGAACGACTGATAGAGAAGTTCAAAAGCAAAATATAACATAAATCTACTTGGTTGGACATTGCTAATTTACACTAAAAATAAAGTAAAGCTTTTTTTTTATGTTAATTCTGAAGAAAAAAATTTGGTAGAGCTGATGTTCTTATAAATATAAAAGATAGGTGTTTGCCGGCAAAAAGAGAGATGAGGGTGTATAATATTAATAGAATCAACGTTTTCTCATATGCTTGCCGTCAAAAACATATTATAAAGTGCCTGTCGATTACGTCAACGCCGTCAGGTCGGCGGCCGCTACGGTGTACTGTTATGTGGGTATTCGGCACAGCGCGGTTGTAGTCAACAAGTGTTTTACTATAAGTAAACTGAAAATGAAACTTCATTGTTATAAACATGTGTGAAATTTGTCTGTATGTTTTACTGATATTTTTCGTGTGCCGAGTAAAACACAGTTGGGATCGTCACAAATTACAGTTTACGGATCCGGCGTGTCCTTGACATATTTTTTATGTTTTACAACTATTTTGCTCGTGGGGGCTCGTCAGTTAAGGGGAACATGTTTTTAAAATATGTAATTTTAATTTTTGTGTTTGTGTCTAAAAAATTTAACAGAACGTATCTACCTTAATTTTCAGTTATAGATTAGAGCTATTATGCAATTTTCTCAAAAATCTTTAGTCAAACTTTTTTTTTAAAGAAAACCCGAAAAAAAGGAAACACTTTCTAAGTAAACCTCTAGGTTGCTAAGAAGAGTGAATGAACAGTAAAATATTTTAATATTTAGCGTATTACCGCACACAAGTTTTTATAGAAGGAATTTTTTATTTTTTTGTTTTGCCTGAACACAAAACCATAGGCGGAGATCCTATTTAATATTTAGGGGGCTTAAGTTATAGGTATAGCATACAGACCCGCGGGGGCTTCGCCCCCCCCCCCCAACAACAAGAAATTTAATTATACATTACTATAACAATATTATAAATTTATTATCCTATTACATTTTGTAGTAAATGTATTTAAAATATTTTCACAGTTTAATGCTTTAGAGTGATATCCTTTTCTATATATAAAATTGAAAGTTCATTAAATCTGGTTTGCTCTATAGATATTCTTAAATAAGATTTTATTTTCCTCATTGCAGAAAAACTCCTCTCGCTCGTAGCAGAGCTAATAGGAATTGTTAAAGCAATTTTGAGCATTTTATAAAAATTAGGGAACACTTGAGGTGTAATATTCGTTTTTAAATCTTCATTATCTCCTTTCCCTGGTTGAACAAGGCAATTTTTAGCAACCATCATTTCGGATCTAAGGTTTTTTTTTTTAATGGTAATTATTGTTTAAAATTGAAATTGTCAGATTCCGATCGAATATTTTTTCTGCCCTTAAAAAGTCACCGAATGCAGTTCTTATACGTGTTATCAGAGTAGTGATATCTACATTGTGGCCAAGTCTGCTATTTCTTTAGTTCATGTCCTCACTTCACTTCTACTTTCATGAGCAACACTGATCTTTTATTTGTATTGCTTAACACTTGGGTCAGTTTCTGAAAGAAACACGACCTTTCTGAAAGAGGCTTAAAACAGATTTGACAGCAATGTAGATACCACTATTTTGATTGGCTGATTTTTTTGGGAGGGGATCTGAACCTTTTTTCTTTTCTTCTGAGTTATCTCCTTCCTATCACCCACGTAACTCCTAAGTGAGTACATTTGATAATGATGTGTTTTATGCTTCATTTAGAACTAGGTACACTCCCTAAAGCGACATTAATTTTGAAAAAATTGCAACTTTCAGATTTTTCCCTTTAGTTACACTGTAAGATCCCTTGTGTCAAATTTTACGTATCTACTTATACGGGAAGTGTTTTATAATTTTTGATGATGAGTGAGTCAGTCAGTCAGTAACAAAAATGAAAACTTTGAAATACTCCCCTTTTGAAAAGTCTTAATTAATATTAAGGGCTCAATTTTTTACAGTACCATACGCTACTCTAGCTTAATCTATGTTTCAAATTTCAAAAGCTCATTGTAAGATGAAACAGAGATATTATGTGGGTTAGAAAAACTGGGCGAATTGGTTCTTGTAAAGATACACTAGCTTGCTGAAACTTGGCCTGGCACACTGCCGTGAGCTCAGATATTTATAAATTATAAGTCTTTTTATGTCAATCGATAACTGGATATCTCCAGTACCTAATTGTGCCAAACATATTATCTAATATAGCTTCGTTTAGACTTAAATCTTAAATCTTTAAGCCGTTCATCGCCCATTGTTAGTCTTAAATGTGTTTTTGACAAGCTCAAGTGAAGAGAAGGAACGCTCATTAGATGCCGTTGAAACAGGCAAAGTAAAGAGGATAGTAATTATTTTCAAAGCGTCTGGAAAAGCATAAGGAATTTGATTTAAAAATTTGGAAATAGAAAACAAATTATGAATACCATCAATTTGGTTTAAGTTGGGATTTTTTCGTTGAAATTCAGATTGAAGAAGGATAATATTTATTTTAAAATACTGACAGTGTTTAATAAATGTATTTAATTAGGACCAATTGTAATTAAAATAATAAATAATTCATCATCAAGTACAATATTTGTATTATGTGGTGCCCTCTACCGGTCTTATACTTCATTACTAGTTTTTGGAATTTTGGGCAAGTCTTTTAAAATGTAATTCACTTACTTTTATTACTTTATTTTTATAAGAAGTTATTTAAATACTTTTTTTTATATCAAATTTCTTATGACTGAGAATCTGTTGCAAATTGGCGTTGTCCTTTTTTTTTGTAACGTGACAAACAAAACACATTTTGGTAACTATGGGGTTATTATTGTTTTATATATTATATTTTATTTAATATTATATTACATTCTAGGTTATAACAAACAAAAATAACCCTTAACGGTGTACACGAAGCGTCTTCTTCTTTCAGTATGTTACCCCTTGTACACTGATGAGAGAAATCATGCAATTCTTACATTAAATTTACTTGTTTACAGTATTTACAAGTACTAAAATGAAAGGCTCGGCTATCGCATGAAAGCTAAAAGAATGTTTTTTATACTTTGATGGGTCAAAAGTTGAAAAGTCCACTCATTTAATTCCTAAAATTTATATTATTTTTTACTAAGTGAGAGTTATGTAATACAATTGGAATAAAAAACTCACATTTCAGTCATGTCCTTTTTTCTGACTATTTTTTTTTTAACAATTGTATTACCTAACCGTTCTTTGGCGATGCGAAACTTAACCGTATTTTTATAACGTTCAAATAAACGATCAATAACCCTTTAATGGAAAAAACTTATATTTTTACGAACTTGGTCTTCTAGTAATGTTCTGACAGATGTGATGGATAAGAAAAGCGGTTTCGATAAAAAAAAATAACGTGTCAAGTGGTTTATCTAAGAAGAAAAACAATAAGTGTAATTGAAAAATATCTGAAACTTGTAATGATTTGTGTAAGAAAATATATATTTTCCATAAAGTTTATAGTCATTCGCAAGAGCGGTCTTATACTTAATGTAAAATCGGAGAGAGCAATATTTAAGAAGAAGTATATTGCTAGGGCTAGGTAAAAGTATTTTTGCTGACGTGATTAATTTGCCTAGAAACGAAAATAAAACATAATTTATATTTAAAGACTAAAAAACCAAATACATTCCTAATGATTTATCGTTGATTTATATATCCAACCCATTATTGTAGAATTAAGTAAGCCTTAAGTGATTCCATTTTATTTACATGAACAAGCTAAAACCTACGCAATTTCATCAATGTTGATAAAAAGGTAAATTTTGAAAGGCGCTGAAGTTTTTAAATTAATTTTTCGCCGTTTTATACATTTAGAACTTACACAGTATAAACAAATAACGTCCAGAGTACATGTGAACCAAGTCCATCGCAGCTGATCTCCAGTAATTGGCTTTTAAATGTTTTTTACATAATCTACTCTGTTATACGATGCAGTATATTCGTTACCATTTTGCGACATTGAGATTAACTAAGGCCTTGGCTCACTGTGGCACTGGAAGATATTACTTTTACGCCTATTTGAGCCAAAAACCCTCACAATGTGAAAAATATGGACTTGGTTCACTTGTGCAGTACTGAACATAAAGTATAAATAAATGAACACATGGTTTAAGTTTACAATTAGCATTTCTTTATTGGAAACATTAAAGAAGCCGAATTGTACAACGGGGTTAAAATTAATTTTAAATTAAAAGAATTTGTTCTGAATAACATAATTATCATTATGATAAAATTGTTTTTCATATAAATAAAACATTGTTTTACACACTAATAAATACAGACAGGCCGCTTGTGTGTCGCAAAATGATAGTGTAGAAGTGATAGGTGCTGTTGTTTTGTGTATGTCGTGATGTTTAATCGTACATTTTAAGTAGAGTAAAAAGTGTATTAAAAATGTTTTAATATCTTTTTTTTTTTTTTTTTAATTGCAAATTGAGTTAAATTATGTTTAGAAATCGCCATCTGGATGTAGGTCGAATCTAGGTGGGAAAGCGAATCCGTCGAATTGTGGTTTAACGGGCGGTCTGTGTCCCTAGAAAATAACAATAAACATTAAAATACATACATGTGCGTTATGGTTTAAAAAAAACAAATGCACTATTTTATTACAATACATTTACATGCTAACATCTACTAAAGTCTGTATAAAATACTAATTTATATGATACGCTTAAGTCAAGTGCACGACGCGTCCAAATGCATTCATGCTCGGAAGACAAAATAAAACGTTTAACTTAAAAATGTTTGAAGTTTCATTCCTTGCCTACTCTAAGTATGGTGTATATAAAATGAATTGCGGTTTATTAAATTTGTATATTAAGTAATAATTTGTATACATAGTTAATTATCCAGTAGACATTTCTTTAAATATAGTATATCATTATTATTATTATTATTAGGAGTTCCAAACAACTAAATGCGAGTTAATGTAGGATCGTGTAATGTCGGTACCTATGTGCGACTAATATGGAAAGAAAACAAAACATTCTACTAAACTATTTGGATTCACGAATAGTCAACCAATGAACCAACTTACAAATTAATAAATAGATACAATAATTGAATTTACTCCACTGGCATCACCTTCCGTGGCTTTTGAAGCTGGAATAGCAATGATCCCATTATATAAATGTAGTTAAAAACATTTTACGGTAAGTCATTTAAATGACATCTCGAGAATCAATTTTAAAAAAATGTACCTAGATAATTTCTATTACTAAGTAAAATTAAGAAAACGCGAAGAAAAATATGCAAACATTATTATTGATTAAGTTGCATAGAAATAAATCTCAATACGTTTAATCACTAAATTTTATCATTATTTTTTTATAGTTTTTATATTCTGTAATTGGAATATTTGTTTGTAAATTGAATAGGTAATTTATAAAATGACTGCGATACTTACAATTGGACTTCCGCCTCTTGCAGTGGATCCCGATCTACCCTTTGTCCTGAACTTGGCAATTGCCTGTTCAGCTAAATCAGCCCTTTCTTCAGCCTCTTCCAGTTCCTGTTGGGCCTTACGGAATTTAGCCAAGTTAAGCGCAGCAATTTCTTCTGCTTCTTCAATTTGCCTCTTGTATGTCTTGATCTTTTGTTGCAGTTTGTCAACCAAATCTTGCATACGTTCATGGTTCTTTCTATCTTCATCGCCTTGGAAACTGAGCTCCTTAATTCTGCGTTCTGATTTGCGCAAGTTCTTTTGTGCGTCAGCGTGTCTGCGTTGTTCACCGTCCAATTCATTTTCCAATTCCCGTACTCTCTGTTCGAGTTTCTGAATGGCTTTCTTTCCTCCTTTAAGCGCATTGTTTTCGGCTTCATCTAACCTCACCTAAAAACAGTCACAACAATAAAATACTGTAGTTACGTGTGGCCTAATTCTATCAGATAATAGAAGTTTTAGACTCGAAATAACCAGAAGAAAAACGCAACTACATTTTTATTTAATACGTTTTAAATTATTTACGCACTTGTAATTCTTTGATTTGTGTTTCTAGTGCTTTCCTGAGTTTTTCTTGTGTCTGTGCATGGTCTTGTTCGGCTCTGAGTTCGTCGGCGAGTCTTGCAGCATCGACCATTGCTTTCTTAGCCTTCTCCTCTGAGTTCTTGGCTTCGTTTAAAAGTTCATCCAAGTCAGACTATATTGAAAAAAAAAAAAAAATCAAACATCGAATTATAATTACATCACAACCAGCGGAATATAGAAATAGCTATTTACGTGTAAAGTTTGTAATTCTCCTTCCAACTTCCTCTTAGCAGCAGAGATGGATGTAGCTTGGGCAGAAAGTTCGTTAAGTTGTTCGTGAGCATCGGCCAATTCTTGTTCCACTTGTCTCCTACCACGGTCGGCTTGTTCCAATAAGGTTCTGGACTCTTCTACCTCATTTTGTAAGGCATTTGCTCTTCTCTCGGAAATTCCTAATTGTTCCCTGGCGTCTTCCCTAGCTCTAGATTCTTCTTCAAGAGCAGTTTGGACATCCTTCAACTGTTGTTGGTAGCGTTTGATGTTCTTTTGAGCTTCAGCATTAGCTTTGTTGGCATGGTCTAAAGCAATTTCAAGCTCGTTGATGTCAGCCTCCAACTTCTTCTTCATTCGGAGAGCTTCAGCCTTTCCTTTAGCTTCAGCTTCCAAGCTAGCTTGCATGGAGTCCAAAGCACGTTGGTGGTTTTTCCTGATAAAAACAGTGAACAGTCAAAACATTTTTCTAATAATGACAGCCAGTAGGTCGGGCAGTCAGATGGCACGACCACCTGACAAGACCCACCAGGATTTAGTCAGACGACACGTCTAAACATGTCGTCTGGCCTGACTAACTACAGAGCCCTAATATATATATATATACCCTACTATGCTAACTCTATATCATGTATTTTTTTACGAACGAACCTTGTGTTTTCGAATTCTTCTTCTTTTTCTTGGATACGTCTATCAATTTCTTGTCTGACTTGCGAGAGTTCCAATTGAGCCCTTAATACTTTGTTTTCTTCTTGTTCCAACGCTGCTTCAGCTTCTTCTAACGCAGCTTGGAGTTCATCTTTTTCAACTTCTAATCGTTTGCGTTGTTTTTCAATTTCATGGATGTTTCTACCACCTTCACCGATCTGGTCAAGAAGATCCTTGACCTCATCTATTTATCAATCAATTATAATTTCACATTATATTTATAAAATTAATGACATTCGTTATTAAAGTTTTTAGTTAAAAATATACAAACCAGCGAGATTCTTGTTTTCGCGTCTAACTCCTTCTAATTGTTCTTGAGCTTCTTCGTAAGCTCCCTTAAGACGGAAGAGTTCAGTAGAGTAATTTCTGCACTCCTTCTGACTAGCATCTAATTCAGCGGCCAGATCATCGACCTTGAGTTTCCATTCTCCAATGATCTTGTCAATAGCCTTAGCCTTCTTTTCGGCAGCATTAGCAATAGCAGTTGCTCTATCTACTTCGAGTTGCAAGTCTTCGACTTCAGTGGCCAAACGTTGTTTGGTCTTTTCTAAAGCTATTACCTTTTGGTTAAGAGATTCGATTGTCTCTTCAGCCTCAGCAAGACGAGCTTGCAGTTTACGTCTACAATCAAAACAATTATTTTAATGCGAAAGCCAAAATATCATTTTTTGGTATTTTGTCGAAATGACATTTAATTTTTGTGTTTGTTTATTTTAAATGTTTTAAATAAAAAATGAATTACTTGGCTTCTTCCAATTCTTCAACTCTAGCAATACCCTCAGATTCGTATTTGGTGCGCCACAATTGTACATCGGCGTTAGCTTTGCTCAATTGTCTTTGGATGTCAGCCTTGGCTTCAGCTTCTTCTTCGAGTTGTTCACGAATGTTGTCGATGTCGTGTTCTAAGTTTCTGAATTTACCCAAGAGAGTAGCACGTTCCTAGAAATATACATAAATATTACGTTATGTTCCATCACTTCTGTCTTCCATATAATATCGAAAAAAGTAATTCACATACCCGTCCTTCTTCGTCGGCCAACCTCTTAGTATCTTCTAATTGAGTTGTCAAGGAAATTTTGATCTTAGCCAATTGAGATACTTGAGATTCGGCTTCTTCCAATTGACGGAGCAAGTCTGAGTTTTCAATGCTCAACTTCTTCTTGGCGGCATCGAAGTCATTCAATGTACGGTTGGTTTCATCAAGTTTACCTTGAGTTTCATTTAATTGGTGTTGTACTTGTTTGGCGATCTTTTCTACTTGAGCCTAATGGTATAATCAATATTATATATAATAAAATAGAGACCATAAAGAAATTGTATTGAATTAAACAACAAAAAAAAAACAATAAAACACACAGACAATCAACTATGGAAATTATGACACAAGTTAGTAATAAACACATAAATTGACAAAATACAATATTTCCAAAACACTAACCAGTTAAAATTTCAATTAAAATCGTTATTACACATTACAATACATACAAATTGTCATTATCTAAGTACAGTAATATCCAATATTTTTTGTTGCATCATCTAAGATTAAAAAATTCGAAACAAAATTTGATTACTTAGCGATTTTGCTTATTTATTATTAAACTCATTTTAAGTATGAAATCCTAAAGCTTTAAATTAGAAAAGTAAATTAATAGCTCGAGATACTACATTATTTTGCATGTTGTAACAATACAACTTTTTTCATTATTAATTTGATTTTTATTTTAAGCAAAACTTTTTTTCTATTTCTTTTAACCAACCTTCTCGTTAGAAATGTGATCTAAGCTTGCTCGTGTGTCGTTCAATTCACACAAGAACTGACATTTGTCCTTCTCAGCTCTGATAAACAACACATTATATTATAATATTTTAATTAAATAATAATGAATACGACTCTTTGAGTACTCCGTAGTTATTATAAGTGAACCCCTCAAATTCGAAATAGTTTTTTTTTAACATAACACAATTATGAGCTTACAAATTCTCAATAACAGGTTTAAAGGAACAAATCGATGGCATAGTGTACTGGTCTAATAATCGCAGGTTTTGAATTAGTCGTGTAAAAAAATTAATAACTGATATTCTTCTACAGATTGTACACAAGTATTGGGTGTTAGAGATTCATCGTTTTTATATAATATGTCATGGAAATTTATGAGATATGTGATACATTATACATTTTTAAAATTGTTTTCTGTAAAATGCTTTTAACACATCTGTGCACTATACCAACGAAATTTACATGCCATTACTAAGTATTGGGTTTATTATTATGATGATGAAAACATAATCATGCGACATATAAACACCAACAATGCATTATTAAACTACCTTTTCTCTAGCCATTAAATCAACAGCAGCTCTAGTATTGTTTAAGTCGTTGGAAAGATAATGTGAATGGTGCTCAGCCCTAATTTAATAAAATTTACATGATAAATCATACTTTAACACGTGAACAATTATTTAACCAATATACGTTAAGATAGTCCTTTTTATCAAATTTTCAATGACTAATACAACTAAACTATTATGAGCCCTGTGAATATTAAAAATTATTTTTTTATTTGACTAAAATGAGAACTCGTAAAAATAATACCTAACGTAAAAATGTTATTTTTATATAAATTATGATATCGATTTTTAAAAAAAATTAAAAATCCAAAAACGTACTTGGTCTTAAGTTTGTTTAGCTGATCAATCTGATCTCCCATTTCGACAACAGCGTCGTTGTGCTTCTTGCGCAAGTTAGCTAGGGTAGCTTCATGCTGGATGTTAGCTTCCTCCAAGTCACGTCTGAGTTTGCTCATCTCAGCCTCACGTTTCTTGTTCAACTCGATTTGCGCGGAAGTTGCACCACCTGCTTCTTCAAGGCGTTCACCCAATTCTTCCAATTCACGCGCCAAGTCAGCACGTTGTTTCTCAGCCTTTCAAATTCAATAAGAAACCAATTAGTTTTTTTTAATGACGCACTTGTAAAATATGTTACATTACAAACACTGTAACTCCTTCAACACTACAAAATTGATTTACCTTGGCTCGGGCTTGTCTTTCAGCTTCAACTTCTTCTTCGAGTTCTTCAATTCTCGACTAAAGAATAATTTTATATATTTATTATTATGCATGGCGGGAAATATATGAAATTAACTAAGACAACAAATAGTTGTATTTACTTGAAGTTCTTTGATTTGTTTTTGTTGTTTGCCAACCAAAGCTTGTTCGTCTTCCAACTTGGCGGTAAGGGAAGCCAATTCCTTGTCCTTCCTTTGGATGGTTTGTTCTAGTTCTTTTTTGTTGCGTTCCAAATCGGAGACGGCTTCTTGGGTGAGTTTTAAGTCTCCCTCGGTCTTCCTCTTGCTCTTTTCTATGTCTCCTCTTAATTTCTTTTCACGCTCTAATGAATCTTCAAGTTCATCCAAAGTCTGTTCCAACTTGTTCTTGACTTTGTTGAGGTGATTGATCTTATCTTCGGCCGCCTAGATTATCCAAATGAAAAACATATATTTTAAACATAAAAAACAATATTTTTCAAACCTATTTAAAAAATCATACCTGTAATTCTTCAGCGGTCTTCTGGGTAGTTTCACCAGACAATTTCTTTTCTTTGTTCAACTTGTTGATAAGTTCGTCTTGATGGGCGATCTCGTCGTTTAAGTTGCGGATTTGGTGGTCCTTGGAAGCCTTATCTTGATCGGATTTTTGAATGGCTAATTCCAGATCTTCGACATCTTTTTTGAGTCCAGCGTTTTCTTGTTCCAATTTCTTTTTCTGTTGGAAAATTTGGTTACGGGCATCTTCCTCCTGTTGTAACCTCTCTTGGGTTTCCTGTAGTATACATATTATATATAATTAATTTTTTCCCCGAAATATTATTTTTATTATTGTAATTGATTGAGCACTTCATAAACAGTTTTACAAAATTTGAATTTGTACTACACGGCTAGCTCAAAGCTTTGAATTTTGTCGATACCCCATAAAAACTAGTATTGTTAGCTTTGTATGAATACATAGATATAGGAATTTTAATCATGATTATAGCAGCCAACAGTTTAGAAAAATCAACTTTCACTGTTTGATTGTCAAACTATCAAGTTCAGTCTAAATAAATGAACACTCGCTGAATAGTAACTGTTAATATATTCCACAGCCCATGCATACCAAAATAATTATGATATTGATATGAAAATAATTCGTAGATTTTTTAGACGTTTGTCTAAGTAATATCAATAGTTGAGTAGCTAATAATAAATAATTTATTTTGGTGAAACATGTAATGGTGCATATTAATACGGGTGTGAAATCGAACATTGTGTCGGCTATTGTATCACTCTCGTAGGTGTCTGCGTATAGCCGATATCTCACGAAAGCTTCGGTTAGACATTTTATGGCTTATGGTAAATGTAATTGGGTGGACGGGCGAGTAGGCAGGCGGGTGGGTAGTGGTTGATTAGATGTAGTGTTCTCAAAATACCTCGAGAACATTGTATTTATAACTTTTATGACATATTTGAATTATCAAAGGCCAATTGTCACTTTTATTCCATTAAAACCATGTGCTACTACACAAACAAATGTGCTTACTATTACTGCAGAAAAAAAAATTTACAAAAATCTATACAGACGTTTTACTTTCATTTTCACTTCCTTCAATATTATTCAATCGATAACAATTATCATAGATCGAATTATCAGAAGAAGAAAAAAAAGCTGTGTCAATAGATATAAGTTTCACATCAATCACGTGTCCCATGACACACATAATTTTTTTTTTTGACATTTAATTAAACAAAATAAATTAAATTAAATATATACGTTAATCTAGTGTATATAATAATGTATTGACATGTTAATGTAATTAACCTAAAGTAATTTTTTTTAATATTAATTTTTATTAAATTTTAAGTGCGTCTGATGATATAATAATGCACAACCATATGCAAGGTTCTGGGTTTTTTGTCCACATAAAATATATGGACATAATATTATATAGTTATTAAAAGAAAACGATTGGCTTTCTCCATTATTTCATAAGTTTACTTAAATTGTAAAAATATACAACTTAAATATTTATATTTATAAAGAAACATATTTAATAATTATATTAAAAAGTAATATTATTAAAAAAAAAAAAACAAAGTAAAAAGCTTTCGTAGTGTTAAATAAAAAAAGAGTTGTAAAGAAACTAAAATGGTAAAAAACACCGTTGTAGGGTATGACTACATAGATTATTAATTTAGTTTATAAATAGTTATTCATTTATTATAAGTTATAACCTAATTGATTAATACCTATGTATTTGTTAAGTTTCCAAGTATTAATTAAGTTTAAAAATAGAAAAAACAATCATTTTAAAAGCTGACTTTTAATAATAAAATTTAGCGTCACTTCCGTTTGCTAGTTATGTTTATTCAAAAAAATTATTTAAAAAGCTACATTAAACTACATTTTTTTTTATAACAACTTATACTGTACACGATGACCCTACTAATTATTCAATATAGTATCGACTCGGGGTTCCAATTTATTTATAAAAACGAATTAATAAATAAATGTGTTAATTTTAAATTTTATTTATTTATTAATTTACCATTTATAATAGCAGCCGCGAAAGTTGTTAAAAACCATATACGAGTGGTAAAAGTACTAGCTACGCCAAATGTATGTTTAAAATGATATCCAATAATATACATCATTATTTACGTTGGATTGTCAAGATATTTATAGAACCAGAATAAAAAACAGAAATAATTTTGTCATCGAGTTAAGATTGAACATTACATATTATGATTAAAAGTTTTTCGAAATTAAAAATTTTTAAATATCATAACGGGTAATAAATACTATGTTTTAAGGTCATACATAATTTAAATGTATTATATTGATCTATTTTCAGGTATGGGGAGTGTGGGCACGTGCTATCGTCGCCCCCATGTCACAAATTTATTGGTCATTTCGGTGCCAGGAAATTCTTTTCGACCTGTTATGAAAAGCACATTAAACCGCTAAGGAGATACGATATATCAGTATACTGTATAATTATCACTGGCCCGTCTGAAACTGGATTATTCATCGTATTTTAAAATAGACCACCCGACCGCGTATATCACAGGATATTGTTTCACTTTGCCAGTGTTACTTGGAAATATATAGTCCGATAAACGAATCATCCGAAATACAAAATACCCTGCAATGTGTTAAAACGTCTCGACTCTCGGCTATCACATAATATCATATATACATATGATATGTATATATAATATATATATATATATATATATATATATATACGAAAATTACGAAAATGGTAATGACCGGCCACTTAATGCTCGTACATTTTTGTTTCATACATTTTCGTGTTAAAATTTCTCACTCGACAAACTCATCTATTCCTAACAACTAAGAAACCACGTCCCTTCTTCGAAATTGCGACGAAAACACCAACATAAAACTTATATAATAAAACGTCCCAGCAATCAAGAAGCAAAAAAAACACGAGGTAAGTTACCAACTATAAAAGAAGCCCCGAAGGCTGAAACGTGTGTATTTGAACATTATACTAATAAAATGAATTTATTTTTAAAATATAACGCAACAAACTTTAGATTATTTTTCTTACAATGTCATATATTAAACATTCATGTATATTTAATGCGCTTTATATCTAAGCCCCAATGTATTACATTATAACTGATTTTTGTAAAACTTGCTTTTTTATTCTAAAAATAATAAAGGGCCTAGCTGAACATTTTAATTCTGAAACATTGCTTTTTAAGGAGGCACTTAAATTTTCAAATACTTTTATCTTGTAATTTTTTAATAATTATGTAATCCATACTATTTATTTTACTATTTGATGTATGAATACTCTATGAAGAACATTTCTTAACACAAAACTTCCCAATATTAAAAAGGAAAAATCTAACAAAGATAATATTTTATAATTATCATACTAATGCAAAATATCTTGAATGTATCTATTTTTACCTACTCAACCGATTTATAGAAAATTGAATCTTATTTTAAATACTTATGTGTTATTTTTATGATACGATTAAAACATTTTTTTTTAAAACTCACCGAAAGTTGAGAATCCAAGTCGCTTTTCTGTGCGGCCAATTTGGCTGCTCTTTCCTGGAGGCTGGACAAACTTCCTTTTTCGGATTCCACGGACTGCAATAGATTTGCCTTCTCAGATAGCAATTTGCTGTTGAGTGCTTCCAATTCTTTGCGTAATTTTTCTTCGCGTTCATAGGCAGCAGTCATCTTTTCCACTTCCTCTTCCAATCTCTGTTTAGACAATTCCAAATCATTTAGATGGTCCATGGTGACGGTTGTTCAGAGAGATTACTACTCGAGAACACGAGTGTTGAGACTAGTTATTAAGTGATCGTCTCGAGGTCTCAAAGGAAGACCCTGCGTGGGTGCACTGTAACGCGAGCATTTGGGAGGGGGCCATGTCGAGTGCATATTTAGAAATGCAACATTGGTTGTGGTATTTATAAAAATATAAATAAAATACAAGATTTTTTTTAATAATAGTATGAAGGAGAAAATTATTTTTTACGTGTTCACATAGTTGTTTAAACAATGATTAATTACTAAATGTTATAATACGTAGTCGTATAACTAGTATGTAAATGGATTTTGATACTAAGGTTTAAAATAAATAAGATGTTTAAAAAAAATCTAATATTGTATTGAAGAATCCACAAACACAGCTGTTGGCTAAACGAATTATTTTGGTGTAAGTTACAAATTGTATAAAAAAAACAAAGTATTAGAAGAAATGTAAAATTAGAACTATTTTTATAAAATTGGATACAGTTTAGTCATATGCTATTTCGTGGATTAAATAACACCAGTGGTTCAAATAAATATTTATAGAACACGGTGATTTAAACGCATCTGAGTAGCAAGAGAGTTATGATAAATGTTACACTATTACTTTTGGTAAATTTATAAAGGAAATTGGTGCTATTAAATCTTCTAAATGCTAAGCCATTCAACTACTGTCTTTATTCAAATAACGTGTTTCCATAAATCATTAAATCGTTTTCTTTTTCTCCGCTTAATACCACATGACACATAAATAGGTATTTAGCATTGGAAATGGTCATTCTATCGTCACTTTTTATTCTACTCTTTTTGTCACCAATCGCTTACTTCTTCAAAGTTCACATATTTTGCTCTCACATACCCAAATCTTCACAGCCTATTCTTGTATTTTTTTCCTGTAGTGTAACTTTTATACAGTATCTGGTATACTCTTTTATAGTTATCTACTTGATTTAAGTAGCTCCATATTTTTTTTCTCTACCTATTTCTATTTTATCTCATTTATCTTACAATTAATTCTTCTAATAATTTACTCATTTATCGTACACTTTCTACCTTTTGTAAACATTAATCATTCATTTTTTCACAAATATTTTTAGCACTTGCTCGAAAATAATACTTGTTTGTCTCCATTTTCTAAACCACCATAATTTAATATATTGTAAAAATACCTTTACAAAATTACCTATGTGTATATTACTTAGTCATTTATATTAAAATTTTACATAAGAAAATGACTACCACTCGTACTATATACTTATATAATACGTCGACTCAACATATACTACATATATATGCGTATTCGTTTTTAAGAAATGTTGTGTAGGCAATATTTATGAAAAAATAGGTATTAATAAATTTCGACCATGATAATTAATTTACCGGTTAATTTGTAAAAGTTTTAAGGTATTATTTTTAGTTTCAATAATTTTTTTTATGAGTAAAAGCCATTGTGGTTTATTTTAGACCAAAAAGCTAGACAAAATGTTGACTACATAAGATGGTCCATTTTCAATTCTGTAAAGAGATACGAGTTCTTTGGTTAATTTCATGTGTAATGTAGAAGTTAATTTTTTAAAATTGAAATTTTTATAACTAAATAAATTTAATTTGCAATTTTTCCTCCATCAAAACCCAATTTGTTTACATGAAAAAAGCCAACAATCTGTTTCCTACATAACCTAGTAAAGTTGCCAAAGATCTCGTATATCTTTACAGAATTGAAATCAGACCATTCTAAGTAGTTGAAATGTTGTCTGGCTTTTTGGTCTAAAACGTCAAAAAAACAGCCCGCATACAATTCCCTTAACCCTTATGGAGGGTAGATCGCAAAAAATAAGATATTATAAACAAAGAACTGCATTTCGTATATGTTTAATTTAGGTGTATACTTATAACTATAGAACAATTTTATGCTGCAGAAAAAATGTATTTATTGGTTTCCCAGTGTAATAAATACTTACCCTCAAATCCTCTTCTATGTTAGCCACGTTAAGCAAAGGCTTGACGCGAGACCACATCTTCCACCATGGCCATGACCTCAACTTCATGTATTTTCTCAAGCTCCTCTGGATTACCAACAAAGCCAATCTATCAAGAAATAGATGTTTATGAGGCATGGTAAATTACCAAAAGTATTCACGAAGTTTTGACAACAACTGTTCAATAGTTATGCCCAATAAACGTTTATATACTAACCTCTGATCTTGTAATTTCTTAAATTCTTTCCTGGAGATATAACCACGGATGTATGATTGCAACCATCCAATAATTTTGCTGAGACGTTCGTCACGCAGTTCTTCCATCTGACCTAATACTCCAGCACGGAAGAACACCTAATAGATTTAAGTATTTAAATTTTACTACGAAATGCAGATGTTTCTGGCTAAAAATACAAGACATAAAACGGTAGATCAAGTGGATATACTTCAATGTATGTCAAAGTATTTAATGTAATTTATTTAATAGCAAATGAAGGGCACAGGGGAAGAACGGTAGTAGTCCATTTATGACAAATTTTTTTTTCAAATCGTTTTTTTAAAGATGTGCCATTAATTTTTTTTATTTATGTCAATAGATCGTTTTAATAAAAACATTTTTTATGTTATAAATAGCACCATGTGTGATTTTTTTTGTTCTTATGTAAAAGAGAGAGGAATTTACGAACTTGTTTTTTTCTATACTCTAAAATTATCATACATGGACTACTGCCCTTCTACCCCTTCAAATATATAGTTCAACAAATTATTTTTTTAGTTTTTCCTTTAAAAATTGGGCACTAAAACTTCTAATATGATATCATCGAGAAATTAATTACTCCAAACCGATGTATATTTTTCTTCACATAATATATTTTTGTAAATTTTTGAAATTCATAGATAAACCCACTCTAACTTTGCAGTAAAATTTATTTAATTGTAATTTTCTTATAGATTATCATTAATCATACATCGGTTCGAATTTCATGGATAAACACAATAAGTAATGATATTTCACACGTCAGAGTTGTGCGATATTCTCTAAATTGTTTGGGTTAAAAATATAAACATCTCCGTTTTATGTCAATTAAAAAATATGATTTGCTCTTTAAATATCAGGAACACAATTGCACGTATTTAATGTTAAAAAGCTCAAACAAAACAGATTTTTGTAAAAACGTGTTAAATATAATACACGCAAAGCAAAATGTATAGGCATTTTTCTTTCTTCCTGGAATAGATATTACATTCGTCGTCAATTAGTGTAATAATATAATTTTTAATCAATTACAAGTTAACATTGAACGATCACGGCAAAATTATTATGATGAAATGACCATATTAATGCGTTGAAAATAAATAGTTTTAAAAATAAAGTTAATTGACAATGACCTAAATCAGAGTCCGTGAAATTCATAAGTATTTCCTAACCAGTTAGTCAGTCTATTTCTTGTCAATGGCGTAATACCCCTAGCACATCAATAATTCAAAAATAAAATATGTTATAGAGCTATATTAGGACATAATAAAATAATAATATTTAATTTAAGAGTAATATATTTGAATACAAAAGATAATTGATTAATACATTTAATTGATTTGTCTTCATCAAAATGAAAATGGAAATAATAATAATATTCACGCTGCATTATTATTTAAGCTATACAAATTTAGTATGCAACATTTTGTATAACTCAATGATTATAGAGAAGTAAAAATGGAAGTCCGAAAGTCGCAAATTTGTATAATATATAAAGATGTATATAAAGATAAAAATTATATCAAATTAACCGGGATGATTTTAAAAATGTATGGAAATAAGTAAAATAGTAAAAAATATAAGAAAAACAAGATTGACAGAAAAAAGGAAAACATTAAGTGTCTTCATTGAAAACCAATAATTAAACACATTATTCAAAGAAACAATCATTCAGTATGTATTATACTTAACAAAAATTATTTAAAAACAAATTAAATGCTGAACTGCTCATCGCTTTATTTCCATTATATCCTATCATTATTGGTTGCTCTTAAAATTACGCCATTGTCTTTAATTTTACGCCAATGAAATTAGAACATGAATGTGATGTTAATTATTATCCCGAAAAAATATACCTTAGTATGACCCAAACGATATTGTTCTGGGTCAAGTTCAATTCCTTCCAGAATCACTTTGGAAGCTTCCGTAGGTGACATTGAGTCTTTCACACCTTTAGGGTACAGTATTTTGTACCTTTAGTTGTGAAAAACGCAAGATTTTTTAGGTAAGCGGTGGAACATGAAAAAACCAAAAAACAAGCAAGGATAAACGTTTTTTTCTAGTTTGGTTGTAAAGATAAAATAAAAAACAACTATAATATCGTCTATCGATATATTGTAGTCTATATAATTGCTCAGAACACTAATAAGTAATCGTTCATTCTTATTAGAATGAATAATATTTGTGGCTACGCAATACTAATTACATGCTTTATGTAAACACTAATTTTTAAAATGGCTCATGCTAGGTCTAATCTAATATTAGTAAAACATCGACGAGCGCCATTGAAGTAAATTAATACAATGATTTTGTATCTACATCTATTTATGTCTTTGCATTTATATTTAAAATTTAAATTCTAGCGAGTATAGTAAACGTTTTAAATTCATTTAAATACGCAAATATAAAAAGCTCAAATCGCAAAAATATAAGAAACGCAGCAGGCAGAATATGTTTCCTATGCCCATTTTTTAACATGCCTTAGTGTGCCCAAGCCTGAATTTATCTGGGTCCAACCCAACGTTTTCCAAAATGACAGCAGCGCATTTCTTCGGGTCGGACTCCTTTTCCACTGCAGCTGGAGCTAAGATCTTGTATCTATTATTTAGAAGTTTTATGTAAACGGAAATTTAAGCAAAACATAAAAACATTTAAGTTATAATTGAATCCCAATCAATCGTTTATACTTCTTATCAGTAAAATGACGCTATAAAGTTAATAAAAGGTTTGGGTTTGGATGTTACATACGAAATAGGTAATGGGTATACAAGGGTTCACTCGAGGATGGCTAAACAAATTTAGACAGGTTCTAATAGAATAAGTTTGTTTTAGCGAACGTGCCTTTGTATGACCGATACGGTAACTCTCCGGGTCTAACTGAACGTCCTCAAGACATTTGGCTGCTGCTACCTTAGGGTCACTTTCAGCTGCCATAATTGCTGGTGCTAATATCATGTATCTTTTTCCCAAATAAAATAATTAAATAAATAAACTAAATTTAGCACAGTGTTCATTCCTCAGTAAATATTTTAAGTATTTAGAAATTAAGTATGATAATTAAGAAATATTGTTGAAATTAAGTATATTGTTCATTAATCAATAAAAGAATAATCCAAAATATTTTATGAATTTTTTAAAAATTTGTATACATTTGTAATCAGTAAAAATTCTTACCGCATTTTGAAGTCGGGGTATACCATTCTGTTAGGGAAACCTTTACGGCAAATACGGATACCTTCAAGCACACCGTTACAGGTCAATTGATGCATGACCAAGTGAGAGTCAATAACACCTAAACAAATCGTTTATAAAGCTTGATATAATCTATAGCTGTTTATTTATTATATGTAATATATATTAAATATCTAAATTTCTATGAGTCTAGTCTTATCTATTGTAAACGTACCGGGCTGTTTCAATTCATTAGGGATGATACAACGCACGAAATGAGGTTGAGTGCTCTTCAAAGTTGTCATCAAATTGTTCAATTGTTCCTAAAATGTATCACAATAAATTAAGTTAAAGTTAAATAAATATATAGTTACATGAACTTTCTTGTATAATAGTGCAACACGCAATAAAAATTAAAGCTGTTAGTTAGAACATCAAAAATGGATTTTCAAGTTAGAAAACATAAAATACCTAAGCGCTGTTTAAGGTTTACACTCAACTTATACATAATCAAAATTAAACAATCACTTATGTAAATTTAAAATATATGTAATATTATTTTTTAAGAATTAAAAAATAAGCAAGACAAATGTTATTATTTAAATAGACAGTTATTAGATATTAACTTACAACAAAGGTTTATCACTACACTACTCTAAAGTTTGTGGGTATGATTTAATTGGTATAAAATCAACACGACAGATTCCGTTCAATACGGGGTTTGTTTGATTGATAACGAAATGCATTTTAACAAGTTCCGAGTATATACATCTCAGTAACGGTATATTCAACGGGTTTAAAACTCTAGCCTATATTCACATCTAAATCTACAAAAAAAGAAAATGCCGAATTCGCAGAGTTTATTTCGTGTCTTTACCAAACAACTCATTTCGTTGGTATGATGTTTTCAAACTCGGCATTTTTATGAAAATTTAACTAAAAAAAATCATAGGTGATCGAACAGTTTGATTAATATACCTTGTAAGAAGATGACACAGTGGCGAAACCACCACCCTTCTTGCCACGACCTCCTGTTTTTATGTAAAAATATCGCATAGGTGAAATTAAATACATAGATAGATATTAAGGATTATAAAAATTAGATATGTAACTCTAGTCATTGTGTTTTATGATTCTTCTTGATAACTGTTTAAAATTCTGAGTATGTGTGTATGTTTATATGATTTTAGTGTTAAAAATGACGGTACAATAATACAGAAATTACAAATGTAGAACTAAATTGTATTAAAAGTAGTATATGGACACTTTGCAAAGCAGTTTGAACGATATCACATGAAAATGTATTTGTGTAACATTTTTGGTAAAATTACCCTGTGTAATGTTGATACTGTCATAAAAGCTGAACCCTTCGTTCGTTTACCACCTGTTTTATATTATATAAGATAAAATATGATTAATTATAATTTGAATTGAAATTTGTTTTTAGGTAATAATATACTAGTAAACCATTTTCGTCATCCTCACTCATTGTTTCTAATAATATGCTTCTGAAGCATATTTATAATGAAAATAAAATCTAAAAGTATAGTTTGTTGTTGGTGATTATTCTTCAATATTTTTCTGGATAAATGTTTTGTATCTTATAATATGTGTACATGTAATATAATTGTTTATGCTTAAACGGAGTTATTTAATTGGAGATCAGAAATTTTACCTTTGCCACCGCCAGCATCAGCACCGCCAGATTGACCTGGATGGTCAGCAAAAATTTCTACTAACAATTTGTTAGATCCCTTTTTGTATTGATCAACAACAGTGTCGTTCAATGGATCCTTGTTCTTTTCTAACCAACCGGTGATGTTGTAGGATACCTAGAATAATACCGAGAAATATTTTTACATTCTGTCAACCGAATACTTATAAACTATGAAGATAATGTCGGATTACTTACAACACCGGCGTAATGGGCAAGAGCGAAGTGAGCCTGTTGGCAACCGGGTTTAGCAGGAGCTGGTTTTCTGAAATTGGGCGATTTTCCCAAGTGGTTGGTGGTCAATTTTTCCTCGAATGTCTTGTCCGTGGCTTTTGGGAACATAGACTCTTCTTCAAGAATAGAGAGGATACCCATTGGCTAATAAATTAAATTAAAAAACACATTTTTTAGTTTTAAATTAATAGAAATAGATGTATAAAATATGCACATTTGTGTTACGTATAGCTAGCTGACAGCTCTTTCATCTTTGTGATAAAAAAAAATGTTGAATTAACTTTCTCAATTACATGCAAATATATGTATTTTTCCATTAGAATAATCTAGATACTATAAATTGACAATGCCACTTCGTTTATAGAAAATCATTTATTATTCAAAGCCACCATGAATCCTATAGCAGAAAAACTACTATGAAATTCAGAAAAATGATCATCAAATCAATAAACGGTCATTGCCAACTATTGTATACTGTAATCTAAGAAGATTCTGAGGACATATAGCTTAATAGCTTTATTTTATTTTACGAAATAAAAAAAAATCATAAAATGAAAATTAATATACTAAAATGTGCATATATATATACGTCTCAAAAATTCACTTATACACAAAGCAATAAAATATCAAGTTTTATTTTGTGCAATACTGGAAAAAACACCATGCAATTCAATACTACAATTTGTGTATTTAACTACGGTTTGCCAGTATGTCTTAGTTTCTGGTCCGATTTTATACCTACGCTTTGGTCACCAAAATACATGTGCCATTCTCTATCACTTTTTTGTATATACGTACCGATGACGTCTCGATTCGACATATTTTGTAGTATAATATTGTACAAATATTAGACAACATTGTAAACTATACATTACTGATTTTCCATACAAACCTTTTCGATCAAATCGATGCACTGTTGCAAGTCCATGCCGAAATCAATAAAAGTCCATTCAATACCTTCACGTTTGTACTCTTCTTGTTCTAATACAAACATGTGATGGTTGAAGAACTGTTGTAACTTTTCGTTGGTGAAGTTAATGCAAAGTTGTTCAAAACCGTTGAACTATATAGCACAAACGAGAGGAAAACAAGCAGTACAGTTAACATGCATAGGATACATAAACAAACAAAATTAAATAATACTAAAAACTACTAACTATTCATCTACTACATGGCTGTTGTAACTACAATTAACAACTAGGACGTGTCTCACATGACACGTTTGGGAACTAAATAGTAAAAAGGATTCCTCATTGGTAAAATGGAGGATCGATCTCGGCAAAACTTGTACAACTGAAAACCCAACCGCCTGCGTAAATAACCTGTTACCTTTTCAATTAACTCAATACAGGCGGCTAAATCCATTCCAAAATCGATAAAAGCCCATTCGATACCCTCACGTTGGTACTCTTCTTGTTCAAGTACAAACATGTGATGATTGAAAAACTGTTGCAGCTTTTCGTTGGTGAAGTTGATACAAAGTTGCTCGAAACCGTTGTACTTTATTTAGGAAGCAACAACATAGGTTTAAACGGGTTTATCAAATCAACACTCAACAGATGATATACATTCAGGATAATAATTTAATCATGAATAATATGTTCGTCGGACGATTCGTTTTCAAATGCATAAATATTTATTCATATAGGAATGGGTAAAACCAAAGGTGAAAACCACTACAGTCCTTACACTTAATCCAGAGTCATTAATTTATGTCTCTAGGGCGAAAAAAATACGGATCAAACAATGAGTGGAAAATCAGGGGTGGAAAATCAAACTAAAACAGATCATTGCAAACGACATCTTCGTTTTACGAAGTACCTTTTCAATTAAGTCGATACAAGCTAACAGATCCATTCCGAAATCAATGAAAGCCCAGTTGATACCCTCTTTTTTATATTCTTCTTGTTCTAACACAAACATGTGATGATTGAAGAACTGTTGGAGTCTCTCGTTAGTGAAGTTAATACACAATTGCTCGAAACCATTGTACTGCGAGGATTAAATGAAATCGTGAAAAGTAAAATGTATATTTAGTTAACTCTATACTTAATTGTTTAATCTATTACATCAAAAATATTATTTACTGATTAATATGTATAATATAAGAGTTGTATTATACATTTTGGAAATATCTGTTTTATGTGAAATATGTCGAAAATGGATTTTATAAAGTAATAATATACATTGCACCTTGTGTACTCAATTGAATATAAAGTACATAAGTGAAATTATTTTCTGAAGACGAAATTTCAGTGAACTCAAATTATCTCACGAGTCAAACCAAATGACGAATTTGTAAGAAACTAATAATAACATGTAGAAAAAAGTAATTTATGAAAATCTAGACATTGGGGAAATGATTCAGATTAATGTATGACGTTTGAAATAATCGTATAATTATTTAATCAATATCATTATCCGAATTTAAAGATACTCACGTCGAAAATTTCAAAACCAGCAATATCTAATACACCGATAAAGTGTTGACGTTTTTGTTGTGTGTCCAAAGTCTCGTTACATTTTTTCACCAAAAACTTGAAAAGTCTGTCAAACATACCTTTTGACATGGCACCGACAGAGTATGAGACCTAGACCACGAACATGTACAAAATATGTAAATATATATATGCATCATAGGATGTATAGTAGTATACACTGTTTACGGCTTTGTCTTACTTGGTCCTTGTTACGACCTTGTGTTACGAATTCGTTTCCTACTTTGATCCTTGGTTTCAACAAGTTCTTGTATAAGTCATCACAATCGATACCCAATAATTTAGCCACACGAGCACCTTCCTATATATATATAGCAGACAAAAAAATGGTTAGCAAAATATAAAACTAATATTACATTCATAGTCTCACCTCAGTGCCATCAGCTTCAGCCTGTTCTTCACGACCGCGTTGCTTAAATTTCATTCCACCCATGTGCATAACAGAAGCGGTGATTTTGTAAATGTCGTTTTTCTCTTCTTCGCTAAATCCAAGAACGTCAAACGCTTGCTGTTTTTTTTTTTCATCAAATAAAATAAATAATTATTTTCTTTTTTTAATAAGAGTTTAATCAATTATTTTTAAAATATAAAAAAATTTTAATAAAAAATAAGAGGATTTTTTAAGCCATTATTCCATGGTCTTAAATTTAAAAAAAAATTGTTTAAATACTATAAAAATGTAATATATTATATAAAAAAAATATATTTATATAGGTATAAAGATAGAAAAAAAGGACCAATTGGAAAATATTGGGATTTATGTCAAAAAGCAAAATGAAGCCAAGTATAAGGCTTGCACAAAAAGCAAAATACAATTAAATTTTAAGCTCACACTCAAACAAATAAAATAAGAAATATAATTTCAACTTATTCTCACTTAATAAAAATACAATTTTAAAAGAGCAATCCAAAAATAGAAAAAAACAATTTTTTTATAAATAAAATGTAATATTACATGTATTTATTTAAAAGAGCGCATAAATGTTAAAATAAGCTAAGCTAAAAAGCTTTCCAAAATTCTTGAAATAATTTCTATAAATTCATTTTCCCAGGTACCTTTGTAATATTTGTATTATTTAATTTGTTTATAAAGAGATACTTTTAACTCACATCAGTAAGCTGAAATTCTTCTCCGTCATCCATACCAGGAATTGTGATTTTCCCTTGAGATACGGTGTAGTAATCATAGATGTTGTCACTTAACATACACATTTCTGGCAAAGCAAGCAATTATATTTTAGCATAGCGAAATAAATACTACATTTTGTTAGTGTAAGTATTATACAATGTGGATTCTATACCGCAACTCATATTAATTAATACTATTGTGATGGTCAACAGAAATTAATTAGAAAACTATTTAAATAAAATTAAAAAAATAAGTTGTATAACAATACATTAAATTCATATTATCCACCATAGCTAACACACAATCATCTACATTTTACGATACAGAGCTATCAAAATACAAAGCCACGTTAGATTCAAATATTATATAAAAAATTGAAATACCTAATATAATAAAACTTAATTGTTGTCGTTAGAAATTCGATAGTATATTTCAGTTTCAACTGCTATAGTTGAAAGACCTAATAATAATCACTTTAATGGCTTAGCTGTTACGTTTAAGATATGTAAGATAATTATAAAGTATTAGTTGTTGTTTAATTTTTTTTTTCATCTCATGACAACCACTTACATCAGTTATTTCAAACTCTTCAGCGTCATTTATTCCCGGTATTCTAGTTTTACCCTGACTAATGAAATGGTAGTCAGCGATTCGGTTACTTAAGAAAGTCATTTCTGCGTGCAAGGTTTATTAATTAGTTATAATCACAGTATCATTCAGATAAAAGACTAAACAACATTTATGAAATACAGTTATTGGTAATGTAGACAGTAGTGAAAAAGTGCTTGGGTGTCTCAAGTTTGAATTTTTAATAAATAACAAGGTGCAAATGAATAGCCATAAATTGGTACATCTTTTAGCAACAATCATCAAGCCGCTTGCTGTAGAAAGATAGGATACATCTGTAGGAGATACGGTCAAAAGGACGTTTGTTTCATATGCTCTTTTTTTTAGTAAACTTTTAAATATGTTTGCAGTATAGGTATTATTTAAAAGCAAATAATTATAATATTAGAAACAACGGATTACTTTTTTTATATAAAAAAAAAAATAGCATATGAAACATAGAGTAGGACGTGAGATGGAGACTTACATCGGTAATTCTGAATTCCTCTCCGTCATCAACACCAGGTATACTAGTCTTTCCTTGTGCGACGAAATGGTATTCGGATACATTGTTGGACAGGAGACACATTTCTGGTTAAAAAAAACAAACCCCATATGTCATGCATTGGGTTTAACGAGTAAAATATTATACATAATCTCAGAAGTCTAACATCGAGTACATTAGTAGATTTTGGTAAGCATTGCAATCTATGAGTCACGATTACTTAATAGAATTTATCTTGTAAGCCTTCTGAGATATGTAAACGTTTCGGTCTAAGTTTTCCCCATAATGTACGCTAAGTTCGTAAAGTGTGATGTTTGTTATGAGTATTTTCAATTTCAATTTAAAAATACATATTATGTATAATATTCATATTTAGATCCTTTATGTCGAAAGCATACATTATGGTAGTGTTTTCAAATCGGGTTCTATATTAAACGTTTGATAATACACAACTACATCTACAATAACCCATATTACTCATATGGATGATTATATACACTGTACATAATATAATTCAATTCACACTATCTAAGACTGTGCTAGACGTTGGGTATGATATATTTTTACATAGGTACTACCGCCTCACTACTAGAGACTGCGCCTGTACCAGAACTCTGTAGCTTACGGTAATTTATGTACATAATTTTTCAACCAAATAAAAATAAAATTCTATGTAAATCATCTACAGCTTGCTAAATTTTCCAACAAATATGGCGGGGGTACGAATATATGGAGAAATGGAAAAGGAAGAATTGCTTTGGAAGTCATGAAAAGACCGATTTTCGAATTCTTACGTCGGTCAATGAAAATTCTTCTCCGTCATCCATACCGGGGATGGTGGTTTTTCCTTGAGACACGTAGTAATAGTCGTGGATATCTTCACTCAGCATGCACATTTCTGTTTTTAACATCTAATTAGTTATTTGGGTTCACAAACGTTAATTAACTTTTTGACCACAATTTCATTTGCCAGTCCATAACCCTTAACTACTACCCATAACTAAGAATTTTTCTGTAAAATACCATCTACCCTCCTTCTTTCCTTATCTCAAGCCTAAATCATGTGAACGTATTCAACATAATATACGATATTAACGAAATTGTATCGCACTTGCCACAGCTGTGGGAAATATTATTCCTAACCGATATTATACCTTTGACGCCTTTCACTGAGCCGGACATTATCTGGTAGAAGATGTGATAAGATCTTTCAAGTGATTGTTGAGAGATTACACGAGCTTTTTCCAATAAGTCTGTAAGTACAAACGATTGTTTTAGCATAAGTTTTTGAGTATAAATGTATTACATTATTTTTTTAGTTCTGGCGTTTCGTCACTATAATAACTTTTTAAAAATTATACTCACAAGTTTCAATATCAGCTCCGGCCAATTTTCCCGCAGGCCCGAAATGAATACGGATGAATTTACCCTGTATACAAACAAAGTACAATATTTTATTATTTTGTCAGACTAGTTGTTAATAGATTTTAGACTTACGAAACGAGATGAGTTGTCGTTACGGACTGTCTTGGCATTACCGAAAGCTTCCAATACCGGGTTAGTTTGTACGACTTGATCTTCCAGGGAACCCTAATTCCAATAGAAACAAATTCAAGTAAATACAAACCACGGACAAAATGAATGATATCTATTTTCGGTCTAACCTTCTTCTTAACAGCTCCGGAGGCTTCTTCTTCTTTCTTTGAGCTGGCTCCGACAGTAGCGAAGTACGCAATTACCTTTTTCGTGTTTTCAGTTTTTCCAGCTCCAGATTCTCCACTAAAAAATACATCTTATTGTCAGAAAAAAATAAAATTTGAAAAATTATCTCAAATCGTATACTCACGTAATCAACATAGATTGGTTTTCCTTGTCTGCAATTCAATTAAAATAAAATATAATCAAATTAGATTAGATTTCACATACCATATTACTTATTTCAAATGTTCATATTTATATATTGATCTTTTACTATATATGTATTAACGATTAAACTTACTTGTAAGCATGTTGACGTAGGCACCGTCAGAAATGGCAAAAATGTGAGGGGGGACTTCATTCCTCCTCTTACCTCTGTATAATTTGGCACATCGGTTAGTGTACACTGGGAATCTTTTGTAAGGGTTGATAGCAACGCAGAACAAACCGGAGTAAGTCTATAAATAATAATTAAAATTATAGTTGTATAATGATTAATCATAATACAAATGTACAAGTTTCAATATTTAACCAAGCAAACACAATTCGTACCAAAAATCAATAACGACTTATCAAATTAAACAGGCCACGAGTATTCTATTACTCTATTAAAGTGTCAAAATAACTAGAAAAAACTCAGAATGATTTATTTGTGTATAATAATTAATAATTATGTAATTTTATAGGTACGTATTATGTAATTCTTGATAAAATTATGAAGTACAACAAATGATAAATACATAGACAATTCAAATATCTAACGTAACTGTAATAATATCGATTAAAACATAAAAATGAACTTAGGTCGTAGCATACAGGTGTCGTTCTCTTGAACAGGGTTCACCAATTACAGTCGGTTTTTTGTCCTTTTTTGACCGACAGTGGAAGCAAAACATTAAAAGCTCAAGGATAGTGTGGATTTCAAAAACAAAACTAAGATTTAGTCATACAGTCAACTGGTATGATTTATAATTAAGAACAGGAAAACAGAATTGGTTGCATTTTATTTTAACAATATCAGTGTGAACTTCATGTTATGATGTTTGTAAACTATTAACGCTTATGGATAAAGGTTTGTTGCGGGAAATGGGTAAAAAATAAACGGGAAAGTCGGAAACTGGGTTGAAAATCCAAAGCATCGAACACGTGGCCTCTAAGGATCGGCAGCCTAACACTTACGTAAATGAGCTTATGATAATATCTTTGTTTCAAGTTATACAATACAGACGCGTCGTTCAAATAAGTCAAGTTAGACATGTCCTCGCATTTTTCGAACTTCGGCGGGTTGACTTGCCCTACTTGATCCTTTTTGAAATCTTTCACCTGATACGCCATAGAAAATGTAAATTAGTGTTATTGTAATAGGTACTCACGTAAATCAATTTGCTGTAGTATCGCTGCTTCAAGTTGTGCAACACCCCGGCGTCGTTCAGATAGGTCAAGTTTGCAATGTCTTCGGCTTTTTCGAATTTCGGTGGGTTCACCGGGCACACGAGTTCTTTTTTTAACGTTATTTCCTGACCGGCCCAAAAGGAGTTGCGTAACATTATATTACAACAAGTTCAACACTCACGCACAGGCTCGCCACAATCTTTTTTATAATCTCGTTCTCGCATTCTCATCACTATCGATAACATTATGTTTCCAAAAAGCATAGGAACTTTGTAGCAGTAATTTTCTGAATTTAGCGTTTATCTTATAAAAAGTCTCCTTCATTTCACCAAAAACTTTTATTTTCTCTTACACACCAAGTAAGCAATTTAAAGTTTAATAGAATTCCTACACAAATCTAGCATGAACAATTATATTCATTCTCTAGCTTGGATCGTTAAGCAAATTATACAACTGCATCTGGTTTGACATCCCTTAAGCATGTAAATATATTTTAATGTATGACCTTCCTTAAATAATCAATGATCGACATGTCTATCAGTGGGTTAGGTGATAAACAATCCATCATGTGCATCATCGATAACGATAAAAAGTAATATAACTTATTACACTTTAATTAATTCATAATGTCATAACTTAAACCTTTTCATTTAACATCTTTACCTCCCGTCTGCAAACCTTATTTTATTATTTACATAAAATATTAACTATCGTAATATGGTAAAAAAAAAAAATGAAACCAACAAATATAACAAAAAGTAAAGACATCAAAACCCAGATAGAAAAAATTCAGAATTTCAAGCCGTATGTTGAAAGAAAACATATTTAACTTCCAAATGCTTTTAGGAAACTTTGTTTTCGCTTTGAACTTGTTTTTAGATGTAAATATATGTAATAGTATAATATAAAAAGGACTTACCTCTCCACCGGGCAAAGCGACGGTAACCAATTCACCCTTTGTACCACGGATTTCTCCCTGAACGAAACCATCTTCTTCATTGGGCACCCAGCAAGCCTTTTTCGCATCGTAGGGTTTGGTCTGATCGATTCTCTTTTGTTCGAGAGACACGAACAAGTATGGGGTCGGATCTGGGTCTTCTCCCTCTTGTTTAACTACACGCGGCATTCTTGTAGTTTAATGAACGAATGAAAATCTACACAAATTGGATTGCTCTGCTAAACGTCACGCACCCTTTTTTCGATGGTGATGTTTGCGACACACCTAAAAAAAAATGTTGAAGGTCAGACGTTGTGAAGTTGATAGGAAAAATACAGTATCAATTTAGCTCTTGCTGAAACTTGGACAAGCGACGGTTGACAACGAATGATAATTTATAAGTTCAAAACCTTTTATTGAATTACCAGGACTAAAAAAAATAAAAAAATATTAAATTATATATTTATAGTTGTGAATTAAAAAAACCATAAGTTAAATAGCCGAGCTTTTTTACAAAAAAACGATAAGCGACTTGTGTACAATATAATAAATTGTTTTTTTCTTTGTATTATTTTATGCTTAACTACATTTCTGTAGTGTTATGTTCTATGTTTGAGATTAATACATTATTTAAAAAAATATAATTACTTAAAAGTTTAAATTAGCTCAATAATGCTTTAATGTCTTTACAGACCGTAACGTTAAAAATGTCAAGAAATATTGTGTTCGTTGATTGTCCGTCGACCGTTTTCGTCCAAGCTCCAGCAAATCCTTCGGACGCTCAGCAAATGTTAAAAATAAAACGGAAAAAAACCCATAAGCACAATGTTAGGTGACACACGACTTTTTTTCTCCTGACCAAAAGTGTTTTATTGCATATTTAAAGTGCCTGGAGCTGAGTGTATAATTAGAAAGCGAATCTTGAGCCAAATAATGCAAACTGCTCAGCCGGTCGGACACCGTGGACCGAAATAGACCGAACGGAAACGCACGCCAGTCCGATCATCAGCGACCCATCACCGTTTTCACACGGTTAGCTTTTTGCTTGTCCATGTTAACACGGATTTAAAAAATTATAATAATATCATCTGAACCGTTTATTCAGAAGTACAAATAAGACCCATATGTAAATTACAAAATGTAATTACAATTGTTTATGATATCAAAACTGATTTAAAAGTATGCAACTCATATGTAAAACGGAAATATCGATTAACATATAGTTTATTTTCATCTCAAGTTACTCATTGGTGCATATTTTAAATACTGCATAAATTTAATTAAAATATCTTTTAATAACTTAATTTTCATTATGAAGTAATTAAAGTAATTAAAAGTCTAAAATGTAATAAAAACTGTAATGACGAAGAAGTTATTAATTCTAGAATGTAATCCTAAGTTCCCTAACGTGTTATATTAGTATAATATAATATTATATTATATCTTTCAATAATATATTAAGACAATGGTTTGTAAAAGACAAAAAAGCAGACGCAATAAATACATATTATGTAATACAATATAGTTAAATTCTTAAATTCAGCTCTTTAAAAAAAATTACATAAAAATTCAGACAAGCCATGAACATAATAATCCCTCCTAACACGGACTATTAGCAAAAGAAAGTAAATATAGTTTTAAAAACATCTGTTTCAACTTTCAAGCGATAGGGTTAAATGCCAAATAAAATATAGTCAAGCTCGCCCGTTATGACCAGCTTATACTTGTAGTTATCGGTCATCATATTAATTTTAATTTACCTAATAAGAAAACAAACCCTTTAATTTAGATATTGTTCGAATTTATTATTAAATTACAAATATTAATTCATTATCGCGTACTGGATTTTGTGATAGTATTTGTAATTAAATACTAGCAAGAGAAATTGATATCAATTGGCATTTCGATTAACTATAAAAGCTCTGATGTGTTCTAAAAAATATCCATAGCTATTTTTTTAATAACACTTACAAACCAGTAAGACCTTTAAAAAAATATTAAAAATTATATTGGAGCCAACGAATCTGTCATTATTAAAGGTTTATACCGTTTATGGCGAACACCTCTATAATGTAGGACAGGCAGACGGGTCGTTTAGCCGAAGATTCTGTATTTAGCTTTTGGCTGTAAAATATTGTATAAATATAAATGTTGGACGGTTTCCAGACTTTTGAATGATGAAATATGAAACGCAGCGGCCTACATTTGATAAACTTCCAGCTGGAGTAGAAAGTATAATGTAAACACGCGTTATTTATAGAGATGGGCCCCGGTTAGTTGGTAACGAACAATAATAAATACAGGTATCGAGCGACGTCTAACGGAGCCGACAATTAAACAGTACGAATAACTAATCGTGATAAATATAAAATAATTTTCTCAAAGAATAACGAATAAAATAATAAATACTGGTACCGAGATAAATAAGTTTATTTATAATAAATCATAAGGCGCAAACGGAGGGTGATTGGGTCCCACAGCACCAAGTCTCATTTAAAAATTAAGCACTATACCATATATAGTATACTACTGGAGACTTGAGTCCGCCTCGGATATTTGCGCCTACGATTATTGTAACATTATTTTTTAAAAAATACTACCGGTTTTCTGGACGGGGATAGGATACTATAAGCACACAAATGATTATTAATCTAAGTATACCAGAGCTTAAGCAGCACGTCCGTTGGTTATGGGCAAAACACTACGCGTTAATATTATGTGATTTTGCGCACAAAAATACAATTTAGCGGTATTTTGAAAAAGCTGGAAAGCCGAGACGGTACACGGTGCGGACACTTCACCGGCGTTTTGTAAACCGTGTGTACTCGAAACGATAAAAAAAAAAAACAATTGTAATAAAACCAAAAAAAAGAAACACACCTAGGGCGTGTTGAACAAAATTAATAATAAAACAAATTAATAACCACAATGACTGACACAGAACACTCTTTCAAAAAAAAAAAAAAAAACAATTTAAAACACAACTGTTCGTCCGAGATGTGGTAGATACCTACTCGGTGGTTCAGACCTAGAATGAATGGGATCGGTACGTTGGGTTAAGCATAAGAAAAACCACCGGGACTTTCTCCCCACCGCCGGGGCCGTCCATTGGTAGTCGCGCGTTTTGGTCGTATCCTTGGGCGTTTTTTCTATTTCTGTAGCGTGGTCCGTCTGCAACGCGATCCCGGTGCCCGTGCCGAACTCCATGATTGGTCAAACGCACGGCACGGTGCAAACGCGCTACCCCGCTCTACGGCCCTCCGTGTCACCGTTTCTCGGATCCGGACCGCGGCGCGTTTGGTCCAATTTTAGGACCGTCGCGTCGCGGTCACCGTCGATCCGTCACAGGCAACGGCGGCCCCGAACGGACAAACCGTATAAAAGTCCAAAAACGGCCACTGTAATACATATCATACAGGATCTTCGAAATTGCAGAGATAATATTTATTTCCCACAAGTAGGTAGTTACAGGGTGATCTGATCCATCTGAGTGTAAGACACTCATTTTCTCTGAAAATGTGAATATTTTGAACATTACTTTTTTTTCTATACTTAATTTTATAGAATAGCAAATTTAACTTATTTACTAAGTCATCCAAAACGATTTGATTTAATGTTTTAAACATTTTTGTCCACATAATTCATGTAATTAAAAACATATGTGCCCGTTTAGAAAAAAAGAAGCCCATACTTCTTTTATGTATAAGAGATGAAAGTAAACATTTTCTATAAATTGAAAAAATATAGTAAAATGTGCACCGAAAAATAGGTATACTATGCAAGTAAGGAAATAAGTAATTTTCAAAATATTCATATTTTCCAAGAAAATGAGTGTCTTGCGTCAGATAGATCACCTCGTATATTTTCTTAAAGTTTTGTTTTTGTAGGGTACTTCCAGAAAGTAATGTAAAAAACATCAATTACAAGAAATGGTGGCATCGCGTATGTGGTATTAATTAATTTGCAATACCTCCTCTTCGGCTTCAAACGTTCAAAGCTAAACGTTTTTTAGATTTGTAAGGCTTTAAGAGCTAGACATAATCTCTAAAAAAATTTTTTTTTAAAACTCATAATCATTTCAATATCTAAATTAGTTAGTCCAAAAAAATTAAAGAAATAATGCCCAACAATAATAATACGATTTTATTAAGGATAATTTTTATGTGTTTTTACTCTTTAGTTTTTCGGCGTTGTTTTCTCTAGTAATAAAATTAACGAAATTATTAAGCCACGCGGGAAAAGGTTACTGAGTATTTACTTTTCGATGATCTATTATCTGTATAAATTAATGTGTCAAACGATTTTTACACACAGTTTTTCCTCAGTTAAAACAAATACATTTTCTTATAACCTTTAATTAGTTAAAAATTAATTTAATTAATCAAAACTAAAAAAATTAACCTTATTTTTTTCTAGTGAGGATTATTAATTAAAAATTCAAAAAAGGCCAAGGCATTATAATTGCAGTTAAGTTCCTAGTAGCTTTTCTCCAAATTTGTTTTTTTTTTTTCAATATACGTATTTTTGTACACTAAAAATTATAGCAAAGTCAGAATTTGTTTAAACCTCACCCACAAATTCACAACGATCCAAGGACTACCAGTTATTCATTTTTGTTTTATATATGTATATATGCAATATTTCACCTATCTAGTTAAGAATATTAAATTAGCAATTGCTTTCTAAAAATAAACATTCTTCATTTCATGCCAAAAAGACAAGTATTTTCCAAAAGTATATTATGGTTGACATAATATCTCGCAAGTTACAATGGATGCTATTTCAAAAATGTCGAGTCGTTTCCATAATGTACACATTAAGTTTAATGTGTAAAGTTAAAATTTTAATTGCATTGCGTAACCGGTAGCGTATTATCAAACCAAAATAATATGTGTACATCTGTTTAAGTCATTTATTAATCTCACTTTTCTTTTTAAAAAATTATTTAAAGGTAAATTTGTTTTTTTCTGGCATGATTGTCGCTGAATTGTCTCGATTTACTTTGACATAATTCTAAAAACATCAAGTAAAAAAATCTGACAAGCTGCCGCGGACATACCTCACCACTTCTCTTTTTACAACTGGAAACTAAAATTAATATTACCGACCACTGGGATAAGTCTATTTTCGTATTGTTCACAGACGATCCGAGACATTAAAAAATAATATCTGTCACAGTAGTTTTGTTATGTGGACGTGTTAAAACTATTTTAATATATAAACAGGCAAATATAATTTTTAAATTATTTTGCTGATCACTAACTTTCATAATTTTAATTTTAACTGGTCATTATAAATGAGAACCATAAAGCCAAAAAACTGTAATAGAAATGCAATATATGTTGTACAATATTGGTATTTATATTATGTGTCTAAATTTGAAGAATGTATTCTATTTCAAGAATTGTCGCTTGTTGATTGCGAAAAAATAACCTATTATATGCAAATGTTGCTATAAAAGACCCGTTATTGTTTATTAATTATTATATAACATATTATGAATTTGATATAGCTTTATATTAAATTGCATTCATACCTTTAGGCTTCTAAATTACAAAACTTACTCAAAATATTAACTTTAAATTACCTATTTAATTAACTAGTAGACTGTTGAAATACTATTTGCGAAAATAACTTATTATTTTATTTTTATTTCTAAAAGAAATTAGAGAAACAAAGAATTGTTTTGATTCATTATTCATTAGTCGATCACTAAATGTTACACGCATAATCTTGTGCTATGTGGCATAGATCTATAAAGATCATAATAAACGTCTGTACATCTTTGTCGATGTTTGATGTTTGCTTATAATTAACTAGATCACAGAAAATTCAACTGTTCAATGCAGTATTGCAGTATTAAAAAAACTGTAAATATTTTAAGCCGTTAATCTTCGATGATAAATAAACTTCAAATAAAATGTCTTTATAAATGTTAGCCATGGCGATTGCGATATGCTTCGTAGAATTCTATAGTCATAAAAAAGGAAAAATGTTTTATAGGGTATATTAAATGACTTAAATCACATAGCGAAACTTTCATAAAATAAAATAATAAAAATGTCAAGTTGAGTGGCATAAAAATATGTAATTATCATTCATATATATATATATATATATGTATCATTTCAAATATATTTAAATGGACTCAAAAATATGTTTGTTAATATTTAACTTTGGTAATGTATTAACATCACATACTTAAAAACATTTAGCTAGAATTAAACATTGTTTGTATGTTACTTAATTCTTTGGAATATAATGTCCATACATGTTATAACTAATATTTTTTTTATTCGTAGTTTTAAAAAATTACACATTAAATAAATGAAATAAATAAGTAATATTGTGTCTAATAAATTAATAAAGCTTCATTCTACGTGACAAACCATACGCTCCACAAAGACCTCTCTATGCCGTTAGTACAAATGTTTCCATTCCCGTTTACATAACCCTGGAACACCTCTTATGTCTTCAGCTATGCCAGGTTACTCTCACAGACGGTTAAAACGCAAATAGTGTCGCAATCTTTTGAGTAAAATGGCGGAGTCCAAGTCCTGAAGTTAACCCATTGTCGACGTTATCTCATTAAAAATAGGCGATTGTAAATCGATATACTCTGTATTTTTTAAATTTTAAACGGTTTTGTTCATAGGCTGGAACTTCTAGAGAAATTATTTCTCTTAGTGCCTTGTGTGAACACTCGGCATCAAAATATTGTTTTGTAGAGAATCAGTCTGAAAATGATGTTATAAATATCCATATATCTCGAATGTTAAGTGTGTGTAATAAATTGTCCGACTTTCATTTTTTTTCTCTGATAATATCCATAAATTTAAATGAAGTTTCCTAAATGTTTTATGATTAGATATATGTTTCAGTGATTAAGTGGTTAAATGTTATAATATTTATTATGTGTAACCCTTTCGTTCCTGGGATTTTTTTTTTCGAAAAAAAAAATTAACAATTTTTTTACGTGTCGGACTGATATTGATCACCAATATAGCTGTGTCGACGGTGGACTGATATGAGAAAATAAAATAAAATATTATAATTGTATTTTGGTTATGTGGTCGAAATGGTAATGAATCACTACAAACTTGGCTAATTGCCGTGTAAACCGTCCTGTCGCAAAGGTGTCTGGCTTCTTAATTATGCTATAATCATTTTTTTATTGAACGCTATAATAGTGGATTTCGATATGAATCTTCAAACGTCCGGTGCAGATATATTCTAGGTGTTGGACCCTACTGGGCGACCGCCAGTAAACGTTTTTTTCTAATTAATTGCCTTTTTTTAATCACTTTCTCTATCAGAGTTAATCTTACGCGAGATGCGATATTAATAATAATTATAGTACTATCTAATTTTAATCGTCACCTTACTGTGTGTATATTTAAAAATAATTCGTTTCTGCTAAAAACGTATTGCCGTCGTTATTAACGGTTTTGGTCCACGTTCTCTTATGTTGCCAAAAATGTAGTGGGGTGACGCTAGTAGTGCAGCAAAAAATAATCCATAGCGCGCAGGCCCTTTTAAGTATCTCCCAGAGAGAAAAAGAGAACGTACAACGACGTTTGTTATGTTAATTTGTCATCGGACCAAATATGGTACGAACCCAAGTCACGGGTTTTCTACGGAAGGAAAACATGTTTACACCGCCGTTCAACTATTTGAAAAACATTATACCGGATGTTTAAAATACCAGAATTAAAAATAAATAATAATAAATACAATTAATACAATTTGTTGAATACTTAGCTATAATAATAAATCCAAAAACTTCCATGATTCTAATTTTACTTTTGGAATGTTGTTATGCAGATTGCAGTGTCTATTAACTCTTCTTTTCAACTCGTACGATG